TAAACTCGGCTGGGTAGCTTTCGGGTAGTTACGACATATTTTCTCGTCAGGTATAGGTACCTCAAAACTTGAAAACGAGAGTATACTACCAGTGCGTGTTGTTACTTTTTTCTTATATGTGCGGTTTGATGCGATGTTATACTACAATTGAATTATTGAACTCACATCAAGAATTTTACATGACAGAAAGAATTTCGCCTAAAATTGATATATTCAATGACAGAAAAAACATTTTTGATCCTTTTTAGAAGTCTGCAGATACCAGCGCCTAAAAATTAATTTTGAAATAGCATCTACGAAATTCTACGGAATTTTTTATACCAATCTACGGATTTGGAAAAATTCGAGTTGGCAACATTGCTTTGAGGCATAATAATATAAAGCCCGCTGTTCACTATTGGATATAAAGTACTATAATATATTATATCTCGAGATATAAATTAATATCGCGCACCGTACTTTTTAATGGAACCGTTTACACTTAGATGTATGTAATATATATTACATCTCATACTATAAACATTTTTTCGATCGATCGAGCGATATTTTCATATCATATTTCGCCCCCTCTATGGTGTGCGGTGTACAGGGGGTAATCCAATGACGAACGCACACTGGTTAAAAGATATACCTGAAGCTCGCTTTTCACTATTGGATATAATATATATTATATCCCGAGATATAAATGATATCCCGCGATTCGCTTTCACACTGTGAGATATATCTTTTAACCAGTATGCGTTCGTCATTGGATTACCCCCTGTACCCCGTACACCGTAACGGGTGCGAAATATAATATGAAAAATTATTGGAAAATTGGAAGTATAATAATAAGGTTATTAATGAAAACTTGTGTGCACTTAGGGCATGCATAATTGGATATACCAATATTTTTTATATCTCGAGATATAATATATATTACATTATATCCCATAGTGAAAAGTGGGCTTAACAGTGTGAAAACCAATCGCGGGATATAATTTATATCTCGGGGTATAACCGTATATAATATATATTGTATATCCCATAGTGAATAGTGAGCTTAAGTTGCAGTCAAGTCAAAAGTCATGCTGGCAGGTGTCAACTGGCAATACTGATTACATTACAATCACAGAACACTATTACTCCAACGTACGGATGTGACATTGAGTGAAAAAAATCGATTATTTTACTTTGTGATAATAGTCGATTTTTTAATAAAAAACTAATCGATTTTTGCGAAAAAAAAAATTATTCGAAAAATAATCTTCTGGTTTTAGAAATAAACTACAGAACAATTTTTTAATATATAACTTTGAACAATAAAAAACTAAAAATAATTACTGCCACAAATGTTCAGTGCCATTTAACAATTTATTACAACCAAAATAAACAGAAACGATAAATTAAATTAAGTTTTACGGATTTTATCGCGTTTAATTTAACTTTATAATTCCTGACATTTCAGGTGCTTTACAGCACGCATGGTCACAGAGGGGACTGAGGTGTTTGACGTCCCTATGTTATAGTTGAACCACAAATCCTCGCAAAAGAACACCGATTCCTGCCAAGGATGATTCGCGAGGCTATCTAAATTAAAAAACATCCTAATTTCAATAGAGAAGATGGATGGGTGCTGCCATCTGCTTGGCATCCTATCTATACATATAATAAAACTGTAAATAGCAGATGTCTGTACATTTTATATTTTTATAATAAAAGTGATTGAGGGGTACTAAAAATAAGTAATTAAATACATTTATACCATTTTTAGAATTTTCTGTCTGTCTGTCTGTCTGTTTGTTTGTTAACGTATCACGTATAAAGTACAAATTTATATCATAAGAATTGTTAAGGAAATTATAAAGTGTATCTTCGGGTTACATTTAGTCTTTATTTCATTAAAATCAGTTCATTCCATCAAAAGTTATGATAAATATTCTGATGTATGGGTAGAGGGTTCTGAAGTAGGGAATTTGCTCAACGGTGGCTTTGTTTGAGTCATCAAGTGCATTTTAAACTAATATCAAATCATAAATCATAGTTAAATTATGTAAAATAATGATATAATTATGTATATCTAAAACGCAGTAAACAAAAGTATTAAAGAACGTATTAAATATATTATACAAAAATATATGAACCTTATTAACTAAATCTGAAGCACAATAGTTAACCCATTTCTTCGATAGATGGTGGTGTTGTGAAAATGTAATGCAATTGAAATGTGGTTTTTTCCTGTAGATGAGTTTTCATATTTACTGCTAATCTTTATTATATTACTCGCTGCCCTACTGCGTGTTGACAAACTCAATTTATTCTTTACCGCCGAGTACTCTATGTGGTAAATCAAATTTTAAAAGAGCTATTAACAATTGCGTTGGTTTTGGCGAGAGTCAAACTTTATTTTTTGCTTACTGTGCAGGCACTGATTTATAAGTTCTCTTGCGTTTTATATAATGTATCAATCGCGTCAATTAATCTCTTTTATTTTTAGAATTGATGTTAGCAGCGCCATCTCTCTATAAATATATACATATAATAAAAATGATGATAACATGTTGTGTCTCTTTCTGTACATTGTATATATATTTTGGTGGCTAAAATCATTATGGGGAACTGAAAATAATTTAATAATTTTTAGAATTGTCTGTCTGTCTATTTGTCTGTTATTATATGAACGCATCACGTCTAAAGTAAACATCTTTTATTTTCAAAGAAATCGTTAAGAAAATCATAAAGCGTATCTTCGAGTTACATTTAATCTTTGTTTTATTAAAATTGGTTAATTCTATCGAAAGTAATGATTATTATTTTGAAATGTAGGTTCGAATTTGTTCAATGGCGCCATAAAATCTCAGAAATAGTAATAAAAAGATTTGTGTGTAAAAAAAACGTTCCATAATAATTAATATACTTAAAACACAAAAAGAGATTTAAAAAGGATGTTTTCTCACACAAAGGACGTAATAGATGGACTTGTACAAATTACAAACTTTTCTGAATTGCTGTGTTGAGATTTTTCGCCGATGAATCGTATTGAGACTTACTGAAGAAATTTGTATCCATCGAAGCCATACAACGGAACCCGACCAAAAATAAAAATTATGCAACGAAATGTCGTGATATTGTATTTATAATATACGCAAAATCATTACTGCCATTTTAGCGCTTTGGGAACTAGATTTAGCGCTTTTTTGGAATGTATAGCGCGCATTTCGAAATTTTAGCACCTAGCTTAATCCAGCGCTTTTTGGTGTATTTAGCACACATTTCAATATTTTAGCGACTAGCGGGTTATTAACTTTTTTATAGCAGCACTGTTAGTCCACATTACCGATAATAATAATAATAACCTTTATTATTTTTTCCCACAAATAGTACATTGCAGTTTATCTTTTTCAAACATATTTTTTCCACAAAACAAAGAGCATGGGAGACGAGTCCAAACTAGGATACCCTGTGCTATGGATCTCCTGGCTTCCCCTTTAGGATAATCAACTTGATTTTTTTACCGACGACTATAAGCGCGGAAATCCCCTTTATTAAAGTTTTCGTTCATGGTTTGGTTTTGGCAACGCATTTATTTTGCTTTATTCAGTTTCAGTCAGTTGCTTAGAGCACAGCTAAGTTAAAAGTTACTTAGAAGTTATAACACAAAGAAACTGTGTAGCAACCGCAATCAGATGCTGACATCTGAAACTAAGTTGCGAAATAAATTGCACTTTAAAACAATTAATGACATTTTTATTGTTCGTACAGTACTAACTACTGTTGACAGCAATTGCCATAATTATAAGTCGATGTCCTGCGAAGTATTGATACATCAAAAAAAAATTGCCAGAAAAAAAAACTTAATGTTGTTTTCTTTATTATGATTATATAAAAAAACACAAACTTTGTTTTTAGTTAATTAAGCGCGAAATCTAGGGCTTTTTTAAAGCGCTGTTTTCATGAAATCTAGCGCTTTTTGTGTTGTCCTAGAGCTGAATGAGTTTTTTTTTATCTGGCAGCACTGCTCAAAAACCCTCTATTAAGAAGTAACTTTCCTTTCAGTTTCAAGCGCGTTCAGTTCCCAGTTACAGTGAGCGTGTGTTATGCGATGACCGTAAATAAAGCGCAAGGTCAAACTTTACGCGTTGTAGGAGTGTACCTCAGTACTGACTGTTTTGCACATGGCCAACTCTATGTTGCTTTTTCCCGCGTTAGTAGCGCCCGTAACCTTTTTGTGTACACCCCGGCTAAGCCTACATCACTGAGAGGTGTTTAAAAGCCAATTCGGTTAGTTTAGGGAAAGTTCTTTCAGAGCTTCTCCATATATTGAGGGCATCTGCCTTGAGATTTGATAGTGGTGCCGCAATATATAGATCCAATTCAGTAATTTTGCCTATTGACGTGTTGGCCGCTATCATTTTTTCATTATAAAATACTTCTGTTAGTCACTTTTACGCGTTTCACAAGACATTTTTATTGTTTATATATAATTGTTTACACTAACCAAAGAAAGAAAGAAAACCACAGAATACTTTTACTCCTAGCGGAGGAAGAAACCTGTTGAAAACATACGAAAAGCGAAACTGTTTTACATACATAGATATACATAAAGGTGGCGCCGTCTTTTGATTGACTTATTCATGTTATTGAACTTACTTCACGTTTTTACATCCATCGCACAGATGACTCTGATTACAAAATCGATTGAAACGCGTAATTTACATAAAAATCGATTTATTAAAAATCGATTTTTATTATAAAAAAAATCGACTTCGAAAAATCGATTATAACAAAAAATAATCGATTAATATGAAAATCGATTATTTTTTGACATTCCTACTCCTACGGAGCATTATATCCACTAAGTAGTCTGTGGAGCATTACACTTGTACATACAACTTTATAATTTGTGCATTACAATTACATAAGCATAAGTAACTTTTTGTCTTTGAGGTTAGGTTAAGTTGTAGATTGATAATTTGTTTGCATTTTTAATTAAAGACTGAATATAGGAGACGAAGTTCGACATGGCTGCTTTGAATAAATGTAGAAATTTAACAAGTTTAAATATCCATGCTTTTAAAGTTAATTACTACCCACGAATAAATTGCAAAAGAAATTTAAATCTTCAGGAATACCACAGCAAAGATTTATTAAGAAAACATCAAGTATCTATCCAAAATTTCCGTCTTCTTGATGCCAACTTGGATCCAAACACTTTATCAGACTTCAAAGCAAATGAATATGTAATAAAAGCACAAATTTTAGCAGGTGGTAGAGGTAAAGGCCATTTTGATAATGGATTTAAAGGAGGTGTGCATTTAACTAAGAATCCGTCGGAAATATTACCATTAGCCAAAAATATGATTGGTCATAAATTAATAACAAAGCAAACTCCCAAAGAAGGCATATTAGTTCACAAGGTAATGGTAGCAGAAAGTGTGAATATAATACGAGAAACTTATCTTAGTATTGTAATGGAAAGAACTTACAACGGTGCTGCTTTAGTTGCATCTCCGGCTGGTGGAATGGACATCGAAACTGTAGCAGAAAAAACTCCTCACTTATTGAAGACTGTTCCTATTGATATTTACGAAGGCGTTACAGATAAAATGGCCAATGAAATTGCTGAATTTTTAGAGTTCAAAGGTACCATGGTAAAAAAGTGTGCAGAAGAAATAAAAAAATTATGGGAGTTGTTTGTTAAGGTAGAGTATATAACTTTCAACATATACTGTTAGGGGACTTTTGCCTTTACACTTTTAAATAGTTTAATAATAGTATTATTATATATATTCTATGTACTACTACTGGGTTGGACCAAATGGGCTATGTTTATTTAAAATCTAGTGAAACTTTTATCTTATACATTGATCATTTATATTTTGTTTGGAATTAGATTTGTATTATTCACTTCTGATACTTTGAGGACATCATATTTTAAGAAGAGAAACTATGATAAGTTTGAGAATAAACAATGTACAATAAGTTTTTTTTTGTATAGAATAAGGATGACCAACAAGCACACAATCCACCTAATTGTATGTGGATGCTATGGCCTATAGATATTTACACTATTTAATTAAAAACCTTAATTAAAAATCAAAATGCAGATGCATTGTGACCCCTAAGTACTAAGATGGAATGCCTCATTTCCAGTAAAATTGGTCGTCGATTCTCGTCGATCTACACTCACCATACGAAACACAGCAGTATTTAGCTGCTATTGAGAGTGTGGTTATTCCCCAATTGGGTTAACTTATTCATACAACAACTTTTATAATAGCTGGAGATTGGCTCAATCACGTAGATTGTTACCATTATCAAAATTAGTTACTAAAAAGATCATTTTTAGATCACTGTTCATTTTTTAAAGTAACATAACACAAATGTGGTCTTATAACTTTACTTAATGAATTTATATAAAAACTAGCTGGTATCTGGCGTGTTGCTGCCTTAGAAGAAATAATTGTGGAAATATTGTTTTAAATTTAGAAGAGTTATATTGTTTAATTAATAATTAATAATGATTATACATTCATTGAAGTTGAACGATATATAACTTTCAAATAAATTTGTCGGTTATTATGTGTGTTATCTACTATAAGTTACTACTACTAGAGTACAATGCCTATAACCTTTGCGCAAGTGCAAGCAATATGTTGGACAAAGTTTTAGTGCAAACTGATAAATAGTATTGCAGTGCATTAAATACGAGAAGACATTAATTTTTATATATTAGATATTAAATAAATGTATCTTTATCTTTTTAGGTAGATGCCACCCAACTTGAAATTAATCCATTGGTTGAGACTGATGATGGCCGTGTAGTTGCAGTTGATGCAAAGATTAATTTTGATGACAATGCTCAATTCAGACAAAAAGAGATATTTGCTTTAGATGATGTTTCAGAAACAGATCCCAGAGAAGTAAGTAAAAACTTATTGGTGTTATTGAAATACTTGTAAAGTTCACCAATGTTGTACTGTTGCACTACTTTTGAACTTAGTATTTTTTGCTATAGAATAAGGGTGATTAATGACCACAGTCTGTTCCAAGTCACAGTCCACCAGATGGCAAGTGGATACTGTGTCCCATAGACGTCTATCCTCGATTAAAAAACAAAATGCAGATGCATTACCACTTTTGAGGACTAAGATGGAATGCCTCATTTTCAATAAAAAAAAGCTCTAGCGTTCTCTACATACCACACAAAACGGCAGCATTAAGCTGATATTTTATGCTGGTATGAGTGTGATCCTTTTCTGGATCCTGCGATCCTTTGAGATGACATATTTGTACCATAGCCATAGCATAGCTGCAGCATGGCTTTGCATATAAAATATGTATGACAATAAACAGTCCATACCAATGTAATTTACAGTTTTTAGTTTTATGGCATTAAAGGTCTCTTCATGTAACCCTGGTAACCTGATTTGCAACTGCCCTACTATTGAAAAAGTCAGCCAAACTAAATACCTAGGTATAATGTTGGATCAATGACCTAGCTGGCACTTACATTTGGAACTCTTAACAAACCGCACTAGGAAACTCATATGGGTATTCAAATCACTACGGCAGGTCAGGTGCAACAAACTTAAAAACCGAATCTATGTGTGCTCACCTACTGTATCTCGATTTGGGGAGGAGCTGACAAAACTCACTTCCTTGCACTTGAAAGAGCTCAGAGATCGTTTATCAAAGTCATCTACTCTAAACCTTATCGTTTTCCCACTGATACACTATATAGAATGAGTGGTCTACTCACAGTATGAAAACTCTATGTTCTGAATCTCATCTTAACGTGCCACAAATCTTTGCCTTATGTCGTCCTAAGTTCTAAAAGAAAGAAGGATGTTGTCCCCCCGTCACTGCTGTACGTACTGCTTTCGCCAGAAGACAATATAGTGGTCAGTCTGTCTATATATACAGCAAAGTAAATAAAATACTTAAAATATACCCCAGGTTATCTTACACTTGCAAGAAAACTTTAATAGAATGGTTGGCCTTACTTAGTTATGAAGATGTTGAAAAACTTTTCGGATGCGGAATACCCATACCGATCCCAAGGAACCTCATCTGTAGGGCTTACAGGTGACACATGCACACTCACATACACACACACACCCACACACATACACCCACACACATATACTCACACACCCACACACATACACTAAAACATATACACAGAAGCTGAAAGATAGCTGTTTGGGTGTGAAATTAGTTGACATTAAAGTAAATTGTCTGCTGTATGCTGATGATGCAGTGCTTATTGCACCATCAGAGGCAGAACTGCAGGCATTAGTCACACGTATGAAAGAGGAATGTGAAATTATAGGTCTCCGTTTGAATGCTAATAAAACTAAGGTTCTGGTATTTGAAAGGGACGAAGAGAGAACGAAGTGTGAAATATGGGTAAATCAGGAATGTCTAGAACAGGTAAATGAAATTGTATACTTGGGAAGTGCTTTTAGCCGGGATGGAAGATGTGGCCAAGCTCGTACCCTGGCCGAAAAGAGGTTTCTTTCCATGGAGCGCCGTATGCGGCGCGACCCAGCCTTTCGCGACAAATATGTCGAGTTCATGCGCGAGTATCAAGAGCTGGGTCACATGTCACCGTCCAACTTCGACCGGCGGTCACAGGAGCACTACTTCTTCCCTCACCATGCGGTCTTGAGGACCCCTGGGAGTAAGATTCGGGTAGTTTTTGATGGCTCCGCCCCCTCGTCAAATGGTGTGTCCCTGAACCAGTGTCTCCACACTGGTCCTAAATTGATCAAGGACATATCCGACATTTTGACCCACTTCCGTCGGCACCAAGTGGTTTTTGTAGCCGACATTCGGATGATGTTTCGACAATCAGTGATCACATACACACACACCCACACACATACACCACACACATATACTCACACACCCACATTTCTATAATTCTAAGCTTCTAGATATAATATAGTTTAATAGTCTTATTGAGCAAACCGTAAGGGAAGTAGCCCGTTATTCCCAACACAAGTGTCTATGACTACTTAAAGGGAAAACTTGACAAATCTTTGTTATAAGACTTGAAAATAAAGGATTTTTTTTTTAAATATTTCAAGTCTTTTCTGGGTGTCACCTGTATGCTAGGCGCATACATACAATTTTTAATAAATTAACTGTAGTTGAAAGTGAAATCTATGGGAATTAAAAATCAAAAAAACACATTAATTGCTTTTTTATTAATCATTTGACAAGCAAATTACAATAGCGCTGTTACAACAATAAACCTGTTCCTATTTTGTTTATTATACATTATATACTGCAATCAAAATGACCGATAGAAAAAATAGTCAATTGGTAATGACTGCGTCAACTGTATGCACACAACCAACACATACTACTAAACAGTTTCATTGATTTAACAATTCTATGTATACAATATGTCTGAAATAAATCACAGATGAAAATCAATGGAACACTGGAATAAGGCTACTATAGTAAAAATGAATTTATAATATAATATTTTTAAAGAGGTAGAGCCAAGCTGCACCATCAGGGTTGCAAATTATCAAGATAATTATGTTCATTGATAATTAACAGATTATTATCTGGTAATTATCCGGTTATTATCCAGCAATATGTGTAATAAAAGCATTTTAATAGTTATAATTCTTTTATTTTAAAACAAAAAAATGCTCTTTGTTTGATACAATCAACAATAACAAAATTTAAACAAATTAACATTATGTCATATTACCACCCCACTTATAAGTTCGGTAAAAGGACAAGGGGAATTCCCACCTATTGACTATCATTTCTCATGTTCAGATACAAACTATCCACTTCAACTATAAACTTCAAACTACACACAAAATTGACACACATTTGAATCGTTCGGATACACACTATAGACTTTACGCACAATATTACACAATGAAATAAAAGCTATTATCATTAATAATTATCCCATGCAACACTGTGCACCATATTATAATTGAAGCATGAATTGGTTGACTGGTGAAGGAAATTGCTTGCATAGTCCCTCCAAAGTGTGGAGTGATAAGAACTAAAGAACCTTTTTACTGGTAAAGGGGCATTCCATTTTAGCCACTCATCACTCACCCTCATGAAACAAAGCAGTATTATGGAGGTATTTCACACTGGTATTCTGCATTGCATGCATATGGTGTCTTTGTGTGAGAGCTGTGGTAAGTCAGGAGCTTAAGGGCTCGCTACAAATTACACAATAGGTGAGCAACTTGGATTCGATCTCCTTGGCACCAAAGAAATTGTTAATTGCTATTTTAAATGCTGATTTACCACAAGCTCGGCAGTGAAGGAAAACATCGTGAGGAAACCTGCATGTTCAAAAATTTCACAAAAAAATTGAAGCCATGTGAAGTCTGTCAACACACATTGGGACAGCACTTTGGACATTTTATTGCCCTAAAAACCCTCTCAGAAATGAGAAGAGGCTTGTGCCCAGCTCACCCGGCTGTGGGGTTTATATAACTTACATTTGCTCTATTCTGTGTGTAATTTCCTGAATATCCCTGTAATTAGTTTTTAAAAAACGTTGGCATCTTAATTATTAGCAGAACACTCCTGTGTGCTACGTGCTTAATGCATGCAATATTCCTGTTAACCATAGGCAGTACAAATTATTGTTATCACTAATTACATCACATTGAACATCTAAAAGCAAAACAAGAGTATAATGTTTCTAGACCAATGTTAAATTTACATCAATACTTAATATATTACATAGTGTTATCACTATAAACAACAATTCATACATCTTATTATGTAAGGACACATACATTTACAATATCAAGTTGAGTAATATAAGTGTTGGGTTGCATAAATTTAAATGTGATGCAATCACTCTAGCAATGGATTATATGTATGTAGAAACCTTATCATACACTTAAATAAATATGAGTAGATAAATAGCTATGTACTTTACACACATCAATGTTATTTTTGTGTATTTTCAAATTATCACATATATTAACTTTGTAATTTTTTTCGGTATTATTTCCCTTTTTTTTAAAGGCCTTTATATAACATACATCAATCGGTCTGCCAAGGATTACATTTATGGTTATTACTCCAACTTTGAAAAAAAAACTGTGCTTAACAGTAGTTTGGTTACAAGTTGATGATAATTAAGTAAAGTAGATAATCTAATCTCAACTTACCCATTTCAAAATCAACACTCACTATCCGGTTTCCAGACACAATAGTAAGACAATAGCAATGACCCATATGTGTGTCACGGGACAGTGAACATGCTAAATAAAGACTATAACTTATTTTTACAGGAGAGTGATGAAACATAACATCTTAAAGGATAAAAGAAATCATAACTTCTGGTTAATTTTAAAGATTTATTTCAGGAATTTTCATCTTTCTGTAAATAATTAATTTGTAAATAATATATTTTTAATAAACTAGTTGTTGGTTTTTGATAAGGTGCGTGCTAATCATCTCTTATGTCTCTTGTATGAATCACCTAAAGGAATTAACAATAAGATATTGTAGTCCCTGATAGATGGCAGAGTAATGATGCCCAACAAATAACCAACTCCTATGTTCTTTTTACTTACTATGCTAGGTAGGGTTAGCGACAATAGAGCCAATGGTGTCAATGCCCTCTCGCTAATAATGTTGCTGCTCGTGACTAGCCTTCTTGACTTCTTTTTACCGAGGAGTCCTTCTGGGTAGTACAGTCTTATCCATTTCTGCATCTAAGCAGTGAAACAGAAACTTTTTTATTCAATATAGATTATAAATAATAATTATTGAAAGTCACTCTTTTGTTTGATTACCACTGGTTCGGAAAAAACCTCTGTCCTGGGAAGAACCAACAAGAAACCCAGCGAGACTTTTTTTTAAAATAACAGCTTACAATCATGATGTTACACAAATTAACAACACAACAAATTAGAAATAGCTTGGTAGCGATGACCTCATTTCCAGGGGTTATTATCATCCATAAATTCCTTAATATTATAATAACCCTTTTTATACAAACTTAGTTTAATAAAGTTTTTGAACTTTGAGCAGGTCAAACTTTGTATATTTTCTGGAATTTTGTTGTAAAAGCGTATACATCGCCCCAAGAATGAATTACTGATTCGATGGAGTCGAGTAACTTGTACTACTAGCTTGTGTCTGTTCCTAGTATTTACAGAATGAATATCACTTATTTTTGTAAAACTACTTTTATTTTTGTGTACCTATATTACATTTTCATAAATGTATTGAGAGGCCAAAGTTAATATATTAATTTCCTTAAATTTTTGTCGCAGCGACTCTTTAGGCTTTAAATCATAAATTGCTCTTATGGCCCTCTTCTGTAAAACAAATATAATTTCAGTGTCAGCTGCATGTCCCCATAGCAAAATACCATACGACATTATGCTATGGAAATAGCTAAAGTAAACTAGTTTAGCTGTTTCAACACTGGTTAGACTTCTAATCTTTTTTACAGCATATGCTGCAGAACTAAGTCTGCTTGCTAGTTTTGATATATGGGGGCTCCATTGAAGCTTCGCGTCTAGTGTGATTCCAAGAAAAATGGTGGTATCTACAAGACTCAGTTTCTCCCCATTTAAAATTACATTAGTATTTAATTGTTTGACATTTGGAGTCATGAATTTCATACATTTCGTTTTAGTGCCATTTAAATGCAAATTATTAACATTGAACCAATTTACTAATTTTGATATAGCATTATTTATTTCGTCATATTTTAGTAATTGTCGACTTAATTCGAAAATTAAAGAAGTGTCATCTGCAAATAATACTATATCATGGTTATCCCCTACTATGTAAGGTAAGTCATTAATGTATACAAGAAATAGAAAGGGGCCGAGAATTGAGCCTTGAGGCACGCCCATTTGTACCATCGATCCGGAAGAGCTCATACTGTTAATGACAACTTTTTACGTTCTCTTACTTAAATATGAAATAATTAATTTAAGAGCATCACTTCTTACACCGTAGTGTTGAAGTTTCCTGATTAATGTTTCATGGTGAACACAATCGAAGGCCTTGGATAGGTCACAAAATCAATCACCAAAGCATCATGTGAATTCTCCCATGCATTAAAGATATATTTAATCAGCTCAACACCGGCATCAGTTGTCGAGCGACCCCTTGTGAAACCAAATTGATTTTTATGAAGTAAATTATTTATATTAAAAAAAATTAACATTTGATCAAGAACAATTTTTTCAAAAATCTTACTAAGTGTTGGTAATACAGAAATAGGTCTAAAATTGGCGGGGTCTAATGTACTACCAGATTTAAATAAAGGTATTAATTTACTATGCTTCATTAAATCAGGAAACACACCAGATTCGATACTAGTATTAAAAATAATAGCTAAATGAGGCGCGATTGTATCTATTATAGACGCAATAACTTTAACGGAAATCCCCCACAGATCCGCAGTTTTCTTAAAATCAATAGTTTTAAAATTGTTTACAATATCTTTTGATGACACTTTATGAAATGTAAAATTCTTTGTACACGCATTTACATTTTGTTTAAGTAATGATTCGGCGACGGCAGGAGAAGAATTCAGTGACTTAGTGGTCAAGATCGGAATATCAGTAAAATATTTCTCAAAAACCATTGCTACGTCCTGATCTGATACAGTTAATTTGTTGTTAACACTTAACTGGTAATTTGAATTGCAAAATATCCACTATTGTGTTCTGTTCTTAAGGTTAAGGAAGCCAGAAAAAAAACTGTAAGGTATTCCATCTCCACCCTTTAAGAGTGTCAAAGTATCTGTACCATACTTTTTTAGGGTTGGTTGTTGGTGTCCATAGGCTGCAGTAGCCATTTTTTTATAAAATTGGTCTCAAGTATCGCCATATGAACTAAGTAGCATTGTGCTAGTATTCCGTTTGAGTGTGGTCCTGCTCTGGTTTAGCCAACCCATTTCTGCTACAGCTCAGGATCTATTACACACATATACTGCCATTTGTCATAATTAGAGCATCATTTGCCTGCAGGGTGCACAGCATGCTATGAGGTTGACACTTGGAAAATATATTGTTGCATCCACATGTGACCCCATCTGTTAGCCTTTAAGGCATAGAACTTGTAGAAAAATTGAAAATACATTTTGATAAATTTTGTGTCATGTAATATGTTACATTAAAATATGATTGTTGAGTGGCAGCCTTGCACTGGCAAGTGCAGTGTTAGGCAACCCTCCATGAAATGAAGTGATGATACACACAAGTAGTCTATGAATGGCTCAGGAGCTCAGTACTGTGCTTTGTTGCAAAATATGGAGGAGGCCTTCGGGTTCAGCAGTAAACTTGTGATTGACTGTAGTGATAATCGTGTGTAGTGATTAAGTATATTATTATATTACATTGATTAAAATGTAATAAAACCCATATTATGTCCCTTGTGGCCTTTATTTTATTTTGTCTTAAATCTTTTTTTATTTTATTCAGAGGGAGGCAGCGTCTTTAAACTTAACATACATTGATATGGATGGTAGTATCGGATGTATGGTCAATGGCGCTGGTCTTGCAATGGCAACTATGGACCTTATTATGTTGAGTGGAGGCAAACCAGCAAACTTCTTGGACCTTGGTGGAGGTGTTGGTCAAACACAAGTGTCTGCGGCCTTAAGAATATTAGAATCTGATCCAAAAGTTAAGGCTATCTTTGTAAATGTTTTTGCTGGTAAGTAACTATACATTCATATTCATACTTCCAATATTAACCTATGGATGTCAGATGTGGGCACTGACGAAACTTCAACTGTATTGACAGACGGTTGGCCAACACGACGAAGGATTATTTATGTATTCGTCTGAATAAAGTTTATATAATTATTATAACTACATTCATAACTGCCGTAATGATGATCGATAATGAAATTAGATAGTAATATTTACAACATATTATACAGTAGACGTAAAAAGGCTGGCGCCAATGAATGTATACAACATATATACATTCATTGGCGCCAGCCTTTTTACGTCTACTGCTGGTCATACACTCCTAAGAATGTACAGATGGATATGGATAACAAAATTCGTACTTTCTGAAAACACCTCTAAATAAATTCAGCATCCGTAAAGTCTCTCTTCATTGTTCTCAAAACCGAATTCGGTAATGGGGACCAGACTCAAGTCAGACTAGCCACTTGCACGGCATGAGATTATAATGAGTGAGTTTGTGCACAAACGCAAGTACATCTATATCTATTCCCTCACTCTCCTTGTTCGATAAGCCGGCTAGGCGATATGTCCGGAGAGAGATCGGGCGCAGGACCAACAGCTTTACGTGCTTTTCGAGGTACAAGTGAAACAACACCAACTTTACTCTGGACTGCTACCAAAAATTTCTTGACATAAAAATCTAATAATCTATTTTTGACCCGTCCCGGCATTCGAACCCGGGACCTCATGAACGGCAGTCGCGCTTGTGACCACTAGACCAATGAGGCAGTCAAAAATGGTCCTATTGGGTAGTAAAGCTATGAATTTACATGGGGTGTAATATGTAAATACATACTCTGAAATAAAATCATTTTGGCTCGATATTTAGATTTAATTAACCTATGTTGACAGTTATGAGTTTTTTTTATTATTGTAGTTACAAATTAGTTTGTTGGTAATAACTTTATTGTACGTGGTAGAGCCACGCTGCAGCTATATTAATAGTATAGTTGTAGCACGAATGGGTCGGCTCGACCGGGGAAGGACCACGCTCTCACAGAATACCAGCGTCAAATAGCAGTTTAACACTGCTGTGTTTCGTATGGTGAGTGTAGAGAACCGGAGACCCTTTATACTGGAAAAGAGGCATTCCATCTTAGTCCTCCCGAGTGACAACGCATCTGCGTTTTGATTGGCAAACGAAGATAAATGTAGATGTCTATGGGCCACAGCAACCACTTACCATCAGGTGGACTGTGTGCTCGTTTGTCACTCGATCCTATAAAAAAAAAACACGCAAAATAATAGGTAAAGTGATGTTAAAGTGCCATATAGTGGCGGTGAAGAATATCCACTATGTGTCGTGACAGTTCATGTGTACCTTGTGGGAGACAATAGAGGGAAACAAATCAAGGGATGGGCAGCAGCGTCTTCCTAATACGAATTAAAAAAACTGCGGTTGCCAACTTGCTTGCCAAGCGTGGCAACTATGGCAAATATCCCCCAATAAGTCAATCAACGGGGGAGGCCTTTGTTCAGCAGTGGACTTTAATAGGCTGTTACGGTAGGGATGAAAAATACAATAGAAACCAGTTTTTAAACTGATTTCAAAGATCAGTGCCCTGTGTGTGTCTGTATAGTCTTTAGTATTTTACTGACAGTAAAATATAAAATTTCAGGGATTGTAAACTGTGCTACAGTTGCTAATGGAATAGTGGCTGCATGTAAGGAGAACCCTCCAAAGCATCCTCTAGTTATTAGATTAGAGGGTACCAATGCGCCATTGGCCAAGAAAATCCTTGAAGAGTCTGGTCTACCATTCAATATCATAAATGACGCCGATGAAGCTGCTAAGATGGTAGTTAAGCTAGCACAATAGTGAAATAAGATTAAAAATCAAGAAAATATAGTTGATACTGCAAAGCACACAACTGTCATGAAATTATTTTTTAATTTTATTGGGTTTGGTAAAGACCTTTTGTATATTTTTTTATATTGTTTACATAATCAAATTGTTAAAATGCAAAATACATAATATAATTATTGCAGATATGAAACTTGTATATTATGTAATATACTTTTTTGTTTTATAAACTTTTTGTTATGTTCGGTTTTTTTATTTCATAATATACTTAATTTCTGTGAAATTGTTCCAAATGTTACTAATACCTTGCATCACATTATGAGACTGAATACATTACATTATACTAACATTGACATAAAGTTCGCAATTGATTTTGCTGCCCATAACATGTGTTTTGCCGTTATTATATATGTATATAAATATATATTATGTGTAAATTTGTAGTCATAAAATTTCTGTATATAGCATAATAAATATTGTTCATAGATAGATTGCATTTCTTAATTAATAAAAAACCCTTAGCAATGAAAGTAAATTAATATCATAAAAACTAGTTCCGCGTACATTTTCAGTTCCACATAGCTGCGTCTAATTCCGCAATTTTATAACAATAGTCTAAAGAAGATTTAAATCTGATTTGGTTGACTTGATGTGCTCTTATTGATTACACCCATAGTGTAAGAAGTGTATACCCAGTCCTTGAACTTGAAATATTCGAGCGAAGTGTGAGCGGTGTAATGAAGATGATGATGTTTGAAATCAATATTTAATTTTTAAAGAAATATTTTTGTTGCTTTAAAACCTTTACTAACAGCCTCACGCTATATAAAAATATAGTGGTTTCGATCACTTTTATTGTTTAGAAATATAGTAGGGGCTATCTTATATACATATAGTAGTATTGGCAAGCCTCCCTCTTACTCTATATATTAATATTAAATAAGGTATATATTATATACATAGTTTTATAAATTACAAATACTTTTTAGTAGAAGACGCCGTGTGCACCAAAACAAGTTTTTTAAATTAGTGTGTAGAGCAATGTAATAAAAGCTTATGGCAGACGTTTCCTATGAGTTATATTATAGGAAGTTATGAGCTGTAATATAAATTATCTAAGTATGTACGCCTTGTTGAAAGATTTGGTGGCACACGAAGGCAGGGTCACTGTGAGTTTTTTCAAATATTCTCTAGGGTTAAATTCTAGTGTGTAAAAATAAATACTTTGAAAACTACGCTTAACTTTTAGCAAATTCTTTTTTTTTATAGGAGAGGGGGCAAACGAGCATGCGGCTCACCTGATGGTAAGTGACTATCGCCGCCCACGAACAACCGCAACATCAGGGGAATTACAGAAGCGTTGCCGGCCTTTTAAAAAGGAGTAGGCTCTTTTCTTGAAGGTCCCTAAGTCGTATCGGTCCGGAAAAATCGCTGGTGGTAAACTATTCCACAAGGAAGTTGTGCGAGGAAGAAAACATCTTCTAAATCGCACAGTGGTGGACCGCCAATCATCCAAATGGTGTGGATGGTATCGGGAGTTCTGCCGCGATGTGCGTTCGTAAAATTTGGCAGGTGGGATTAATCCGAACAATTCCTCAGAGCAGCAAAATGCAAAGAGATGCAACATCTCTTCGCAGCGCCAATGAGTCGAGCCGATCAGAAAGGACTCGGTCGTCAACGATTCGAACCGCTCTGCGCTGGATGCGGTTAAGTGGAAGGAGCTGGCACTGGGGAGCCCCTGCCCAGAGATGGGAACAGTATTCCATGTGAGGCCGAACCTGCGCCTTGTAAAGTTGCAGGCGTTGAGCCGGCATGAAATACTGTCCCGCTCTGCTGAGCACGCCAAGCTTTTTAGAGGCCAATTTGGCCTTCTCTTCCAAGTGACCACGAAACTGCACGTCATTCGATATGTCGACGCCGAAGATTCCGATACTGGCTGAGGCAACAAGGGGAGTACCTTGAAACTGAGGAGATACGACAAAGGGGTTCTTTTCAGCGGTAAACGCGCAAACTTGTCTTCTGAGGATTAAACTGAACTAGATTTAGTCGCCCCCAATCCGAGACTTTGTCCAGCAAAGACTCGACTTCACACAAGTTTGTTCCGGTACTCGGTGACGTTTTCCCGAGAAATATTGGCACGGCCGGTGTATAGAGCATCACCAGTGCTGTCATCCGCATAGCAATGAATGCTATCGGCTTGCAACATATAATTGATATGCAGAAGAAACAGTGTTGGTGATAGCACGCAGCCTTGTGGAACACAGTCGGAGCATGCACCGTCTACAACGACCTTGATGCTCCGATCTGCAAGAAAGCTGGTGATCCAATTGCATAATTTCTCGGGAAGCCCAGAGGAAGGGAGCTTCGAAAGAAACGCTTTGTGCCAGACCCGATCGAAGGCCTTCGCTATGTCCAAACTAACGGCCAATGCCTCCCCCTTTGACTCTACTGCCTCCGCCCATCTATGAGTTAAGTAGACCAGAAGATCACCAACAAATCGACCCCGACGAAAACCGTACTGGCGGTCACTAATCAGCTGGTGATACTCAAGGTACCGCATGAGGTGGCAGTTTATAACGGATTCCATTATTTTGGAGAACAAGGGGGTGATGGCGATAGGCCTGTAGTTGGATGGGTCTGAGCGGTCGCCTTTTTTAGGGATCGGGTGGACAAAAGCTGTCTTCCATGATTTCGGGACTACGCCTAGGGAGTAGGAGTACCGGAAAAGACGCGTTAGAACCGGAGCACACGTCCTCAGCACAATTGGGGGGATTCCGTCAGGCCCACTCGACTTGTGGATGTCAAGGGAGAGGAGTGCTCTGCGAACCGAGCGCTGTAAGAACCGCACATGGAGCACTCACACCGCGGGATAGTCGGCGATGTGGTCCCCCCGTCATCAACAGTCGAGTTGGACGCAAAAAGGGAGCCTAAAAGGTCAGCTTTCTCTTTTGCGTCGTGGGCCAGTGAGTCGTCCTCCCTGTGCAGAGATGGTAGTGATGGCTTACAGAAATTCCCTTGGACAGCCTTGGCGAGAGACCAGAATGCACGGGTTCCCGAAGGAAGGCGAACTAGTTTCTCGCCAATTCTGCCTATGTGCTCTGACTTTGCCTTGGCAATAACTCTTTTGAAGGACCTGAAGGCGAAGTTATACTTTTTAAGTGTGCTGGTGTTTACATCCCGAGTCGCCGAAGCCGCAGCCCAGGCTTGATAACACTCCTGCTTACTGCGTAATGCAGTCTTACAGGAGCGACCAAACCAAGGCTGAGATCTGCCTCCGAGGGGTATCACAGATGATGGAATAAATAGTTCCATTCCCTGTAGCACCACATCAGTGACAGAGTCAGCAACAGCGCTGGGATCATCCGGCGAGAAGCAAACCGGCCCCCATGGGTAGGAAGCAAAGAAAGACCGCATTCCGTCCCAATCCGCCGACCTGTAATACCAAACACGGCGGCAACCTGCAGAACGCAACCGCGAAGGGAGCGTGAGTGGCACCAGAGAAGGTATATGATCCTCAACATCTGGAATCCGTGTAGGCGTTGTAATCAGTTGTGTCAGATCATATGCCAAGGCAAAGTCATAAACAGATCTCCCCGCATGATCGGTTAAACATGAACCGAGCCATTCGGCATGGTGGGCGTTAAAATCGCCAAGGATCACGATCTCTGCGGATGGGACCTGTTGTAGCAAGGAATCTGTAGCCATTTGGACGTGGTCGATGAGTCGGTCTGTTTCGGCATTACCGCTATGGGACCTATAGAGGCACCCGTAGACGCGCGGGTGGTCGTCGCTGTCTACGCGTAGCCAAAGGATGGACAGGTCCGAACCTTCAAGACTGCCGAGGCGTCGAGAACAGATATCCTCTCTGACATACACGCAAACTCCAGCCCGAGGCACAAAGGAATGCTCCAATTTGTACCCCGGGTAGGAGAGATACGAAATATCAGCCGGAGAGGAAACCTGCGTCTCGGTCAGAAAGAGCAAGGCCGGCTTCGCCGTCTCGAGATGGTAGTGGACGGCGTTTAGGTTAGAGTGAAGTCCCCTGATGTTGCAGAAATTCACGGATAGCGTGGCAGGGGTCGCCTAGGTGTTCTTGCTCAGTTTGCCCCGAGCAGTTATGTTATTGACCGGAGTTCTGCCCCCCCCCCCCCCCCCCCCAGAATACGCGGGGCAGCCTGAGCACCCACGCTGAGGATCGGAATAACATGGTCGTGGATGCTCAGCGAGGGATTCTCCAGGGGTACTGGTACCCTCCTGGGGTAGTCTATCGTGTAATTCCGCTACCATGTTTATGGGGGGAGGGGGGTGGGATTGGGCCTCCGGCCACCTGCACTCACCAGACGAAACGCAGAAGCAGAGCTTCTACTTCACGCCGGTATTCTGTGAGGTCGTGGTACCAACCCGGCTCGAGCCGGCCCATACGTGCAACAGCAAAAACTGCTGCGTGGCTCTACCACCGTCAAAAAATTCGATCTATAGATGTTGTTGTAAATTGTAAGTTGTAACACAATGTGAGATGGACATGTAATATATAATTATTCCTATTATGACAGCAGAGCTTTAAAAATAAAATCCAATATTATAAATAAACTAAACATTATGTCAACAACCTGTTCAAGTAATCTATACCGTAATATAATAAAAATGTAAATAGCAGACGTCTGTACATTTTACATTTTTGTAATAAAAGTGATTGAGGGGTACTAAAATTAAGTAATTAAATACATTTCTACCATTTTTAGAATTTTCTGTCTGTCTGTCTGTTTGTTGGTTAACGTATCACGTATAAAGTACTGATTTCTATCATAAGAATCGTTAAGGAAATTATAAAGTGTATCTTCGGGTTATATTTAGCCTTTAGTCTTTATTTTATTAAAATCAGTTCATTCCATCAAAAGTTATGATAAATATTCTGAAGTATCGGTACTACGAAGTATAAACGTACGAAGTATAATCACAGATTACTAAATAGTTTAGAAAAGTATAATGTACGAATTTGCTCAACGGTGGCTTTGGTTGAGTCATCATGTGCATTTTAAACTAATATCAATATCATTTTATCATTATCATTTTAAACTATAAAATAATGTTCTATAATGATATAATTATGTATATCTAAAACGCACTAAACAAAAGTATTAAAGAATGTATTAAATATATAGAACAATATATTAACCTTATTAACTAAATCTAAAGTACAATAGTTAACCAATTTCATCGATAGATGGTGGTGTTGTGCAAATGTAATACAAAAAGGCAGGTTGTGGTTTTTTCCTGTAGATGAGTTTTCATACTTACTGCTAATCTTTATATTACTCGCTGCCATACTGCGTAAAAAAAATTTATAATAATTAATATATTTTATACTTAAAACACAAAAAAAGATGTTTTCCTTAAATTAAAAAAAAAATATTTTTTCTCACACAAAGGACATAATAGATAGAGTTGTACAAATTACTACCTTTTCTGAATTGCGGTGTTGAGATTCTTCGCCGGTGAATCGTATTGAGACTTACTGAAGAAATTTATATACACCAAAGCCATACAACGGAACCCGACTAAAGGTAACAAAATTGCAACGAAATGTCGTGATTTAGTATTTATATTATACCCAAAATCGGGCTTTGTGAAATCGGATTGGTGAACACAGAGGTGAAATTTAGATTCAGCTTTTGTAGATATCGCCGAAGCCTGTTCTGACAGTTATCTTTTTACAGTATACTTATGTAGGTAGAATATATTAAAGAAAACTGCAAAATATATAAATAAAATTAATATTTTATTTCTAAACATAACCATAATAAATTTAAAGTATAATTTATCTACAGATCACTATGTTTTGTAGTTATGAAAGTTAAACGCGGAATAGATTAAGTCGTCTCCCTTGTGGGGAAGTATCACTTTTGTTTAGTGTCATATTGGCTTGTATTTCTTCGAAAGTAGGCAAATGCGTTAGTTTTCCTCGAGCAGCAACGGATGGACGCTTGCTTAACATACGTTTTGCCACACGTACAATATCGTCAGCCGTGATTTTCTCTGTGGAACACGTATTCGTAAATATTAAAGCATTTTAACACGAATATAAAAAAGGCGCATGTAGTTTCTTAATTATTCAAGTTACAGCCAGTATACGTTCCACAGTTGGGCACTCATCCTGGGTTATAGAGCAATTAGTCTGTCGCGCTTCTCTAGTGCGTGTTAGTGGACTTTACATTTCTTCTTTGTATTTCATTCCTTAGACATTTCACAAGTTTCTTTGCAATGTTTATTTTTCCTGAGCACATGGTAATACAGCGTTTAAAAGTTGCAATTTTGACAATTTCATTTGTGTTGGCGGAAATGAAACCAAGTGGCTCACGTTCGCTGAAATTTAGGGCCTTACCCTCCGAGCAAAAACTACTCAAGTCCAAATTCATAGTAGGACACAGTGGCGCACCTAGAGCGGTGCACAGGGCACATGTATAACAAGGCAAAACAAAATTACAAAAGTAACAAATAAAAAATAATTAAAAACAATGCAGATGCGGCAATAAAACGCGTAAATGTATATATGAACACGAACATATTGTGCGCTCACTCGCATTTTTGGAACTTATGGTAATACTTAATGATGTACAGTGTTTGTTATTTCTTACAAAAATTCTTAATATCTTTAAGTATTCAAACACTGAATGAATGAATTATCTCATGATTTATAAAATCCACACTGACCGCACCATGCACTAATATTTTACGTGAGTCATTTAGTATTAGTTAGCATGAGTGAGTGACGTGCACATCACTAAACCAAACACGATTTATGACACTCCCTGCAGCAAGTTAGAGAAGATAAAGTGTCATTCGATGTCGCGCGTCTTCAACGCTGCACTCTATTATTATATTGGCATTTAGTCGATCCTTACAATATTCCAAGATGGGATGGAGTAAGAATTGTCTTACGTCAAAACATGACAAAATATTTTTTTTATCGTTTCATTCACACAATATGAGTTACTTTTGACATTGTGAGAGGTACATTGATCTAAACTTATGGAATGAGGTAATGGACGATTATGATTTTTAAAAAAAACATGGTAAGGATATATTGACGAAACTGGCACTCGATACAAATGTCGCCATTGATGTCAGCGACATTGAACTGCACAACAAATTTGTAATTTTGTGTCGCAACTCGCAACAGTGTTCACTCGGTTTCTAGATTTTGAAACTAACTACCGCAAGTGCTAGCGGTCGACTTAATTAATTTCTCTCCGGATTCAAGCGGAATGCAAGTAGTCGGTAGCATACCGAAACCGAACTCGCTTTTTTTTGGGTTGGGGAGATTCATTTGCCCGTAGTCAGAGCCTAAGTGTCTACACTTTTATACAGTACTAGCTGATACCCGCGACTTCGTCTTCGTTGCTTGATATATTAACAAAAAAAAAAAACACATCACCGAACACTTAGCACTTAAAAAAAATAGTTGTTTCTTAAAACTTTAATAACTATATTAAATGAAGATATCACAATATTTTTTTTAGATAAGGGCCAAGTGTCAGATATATAAAACTTAGAAAACCTAATTGCAATTTATCTCGTAGTTTTTGCGTGATGCGCGCACAACTGCAAACCTCTATTATTTTATTTATATAGATAAGTTATTCTAGCAATAGCTTTACTCAGTAAAAGCAAAATTACAAACAAATCGAAGCAAGCTGTTAATCATTGAATACCAATATAACCTTTAAACATTAATATTTAAAATTAGTTTTTGCGACTTTTTAACTATGTTTTAAATATTTTATTGAGATCTTTCTTCATTTTATAAATATTACATACCAATCTCATTAATGAAATATGAAGGCGGTTTTCTCTTGCCAGTGGCTAATACTTGTCGTCCAACATCCTCAAATACAACAGGTCTCGCTTCCAAGTTCATGAGTAACATTGACTGAAGCTGGGTTTTAGCTCTCTAATAAGAAACAATAGAAAATGTTATGAAATTATTAGTTAACTTTATTTTATAAGTAAATTTTATATCGACGTGGTGGTTCTTTTTACAACATAATCTCATGTTTTTTAAGGACTAAACGCCTTCTGCACTCACTTTAAGCGTTTCGTTCAAACCGTGCGATTCAACGCATGGACCACGTCATTACAAGTTTAATGTTCAAGTAGAACTTATACTGGTATAATTTCAGCACACACGGAGATTAGAATTATGTCTTGTATTATATTATATTTACAATCTCATCTATACACAAAAGTAAAGCAAATATATTTCTCGAACTTTCTTTTATCACCTCTAGCGACACTGGACGAAATTATTTGATGATGCCGGCATAAGAATTATCTTATGCCACCACTCACGACTTTCGTTTACATTTTATTTATTTATACTGAGTTAGCGATCCACCCGGCTCCACAAGGGAAGTTATCGATCTCGTCAACAGCGCCAAAATTTCATCAAAATCGGTCGAGCCATTTTCGAGTTTCGAATTTCGAGCCAGTGATGACCCATGGCACTGAGACGTGGTCCTTCACTGCTGGCCGGATGAGGAAGCTCAAGGTCGCTTAGCGAACTATGGAGAGGGCTATGCTCGGAGTTTCTCTGCGTGATAAATTTAGAAATGAGGATATCCGCAGCAGAACCAGAGTGACCGACATAGCCCAACGGATTAGTAAGCTGAAGTGGCATGGGGAAAAAAGGTTCTCGAGTGGCAGCCTCGTACCGGCAGGCGAAGTGTAGGGCGTCCCCCCACTAGATGGAGTGACGACCTGGTAAGACATGCAGGAAGTCGATGGATGCAGGCGGCTCAGGACCGTGCTTTCTGGCATTCCTTGGGGGAGGCCTATGTTCAGCAGTGGACTTATGAAGGGCTGTAATGATGATGATGATGATGATGACGATGATGATTTTCGAGTTGTTGCGAGACTAACCCGCGGAAATTCATGTAATGATATGGTTAGTAATCTATTACTACTTACTTAAAAAACTGAAAATGCATATAAATATTATAAAAGATATTAAGAGACTTAAGAAAGATAAAGGTTTTGTTAAAATACGCAGTAGACCTTACACGTAATTCAGTTTCGCCAACTTTGCCGGCCATATTGGAGAGCTCCCGTGCAATAACTATCGTGGTATCATAAATGCGGTTAGGTGGTGACGCGGAGTGTACGCAAAAGAGGCCCGTGTCGCCGTAGGCGTGATTGTACGCGGTTGCGTTGAACATCCAGTGATATCTGTAATGTGATGATATATGTATGTACTTTTTAAATAATATAAAATATACAAGTAGATTTTATTTAATAAAACAGTAAAGGGTATAATGAGTTTTATTACTTTTTTTGTCCTTAAAGATTGGCGGGGAAATGTTTGGCTCCCCAGTAGGACAGTACAGTAGGAAAAAATGTAATTCAACCAAATAACAAAACTATTATGATAAAAAAAACAATTTTCCAGACTGCATATAATATGACACACATCTTACCTATTAAGTACGTTAGTGTAAAGGCGTGTGTACATGCCCTTTCCAGGACCGCCTGCCGAAAAGGAACCACCGCCGCCCATCATCATGTTTAAAACACATGTTGCTACAAAGTCTGGGTCACCATGGGAACAACCTGGAAAGATATTTTATTAATATTTTATTTTGTGTTCTTTATTTTCATTTTAATCTTCTACATGAAAATAGTACATGATTAATAATAACCCCTGGGGATGAGGAATGCGCTACCTTGCTGTTTCTAAATGTTTTCATACATAATTGTATAAAATATTATATTGTAAATTATTGTTTAATAAAAAGGTCCCACTGGGTTTCTTGCTGGTTCTTCCCAGGATAGAGCTTTTTTCTTCCCAACCAGTTGCTTAAATGTATTTAATAAGTGTTGTAATCTACATGTGTATATTGAATAAAAACGATTACATTCCATTCTACTCTACATTTTCTGTGATATTTCCTTATAACCTTACACACAACTACTATTCGTCTTAAATCCATATTACACATAACGAGATGATCCATGTTACACATTGTGCAAAACGATAATGTTCTTTTTGAGACCTTTCTTATACATTTTAAAAAAATACGTATCTTATCGACAGTTTATTATTTGAAGTAAATTAAACTTTGTAAAAAAAAAATGGTTCTGATTATTCATTATATTTAGGCGAATACTGTATGTTATAGAATTAATTTTGTCGCATGTAGTTTTAACTTATAATCAATTTCTTATATAATCAAGTTTATAAAGTTCTATTACCAGTAAGAAACAGTTACGAAATATTTTAATTAAAATCTTTCTTTAACAGAAGTTAGGATAAAAACCACAGACAAAGACATCCCCCCGCCTTCCAAGCGCAGTGAGATGCTGGCTTGGAAGGCGGGGGGATGTCTAACGACATTAGGAGAGTAATGGCAACGGCGGGGACTGTGGGGTTTGAGGCAGCGGCGGGGGCTGCAGAGGTGAGGGTGGTGGCAGGGGCTGCCGGAACGGGGGGGTGCGATTTTTCGCAGCGCGTTTACAGCTGCGCCTTGACTTCACATTTTTTTAAACAAATTCACACACCAAAACAACAAAACTTACTTTCAATTCCAATAACAACATGAGACAATTCAGGCAGATCAGATCCCGGGTACAGTGGTATTTCACATTCTTCCTAAAACAAACAAAGGAGTAGGCTCAAAGTTATTATGACTATGATAAGAAGTCATAAACATAGGTCATATCACAATTTAATGTCGAAAACGAAAACTTCTACTTATGCAAATATATTTCACAAATGTTTTCGTTTTTTTTATATAATTGAATCAATAATCCAAACGTGTAGCGGTGGTGTAAGAATATCCATTATTCCATATTGTCCTGTGGGTGTCGTAAGCTACAGTGGGAAACAAAACAAGAAATGAGCAGCAGTGTCTTCCTAATAACAACTAAAAACAAAAAACTATGGTAGCCAGCCCACCTGCCAAGCATGGCTACTATGGTAAATATCTATGAAATATCTATGAGGCAATCTATGGGAGAGGCCAATATGGGATTATGTATGGGCTGTAATGGTAATCAAATATATGTATGTACAATTATTACCAAGTAATCAATTAAATGTTATTATTTGTCAAATAAATACTATTATATACCTAACATATATTTTTACTTATCAAATATATCATCATCATCATCATTACAGCCCTTCACAAGTCCACTGCTGAACATAGGCCTCCCCCAAGGAATGCCACAAAGCATGGCTATCGGATTATTATTATTATTTATATTCGTATTTTATTACAATAACCATAAAATAGTATTCTATTTTATTCTTAGAATAGAAAAACATTTATTAACAAACACAGTTAAAAATAATAAAATAAAATTAAAATAATAAGTGCGCCTCCATTTGTACCGAAACTGTCTTAGTGAACAGACTAATATTAAGATTTTTTGATGGAAAAATGCAGGGTACAATGGAACGATGTAATTTACTTCATAATTTTTTTTGCCTTAAACGTTTATTTAAATTAAAGTAAATTCAAGTTCAGAACCAAGCGCTTAGTTAGACAACCCTCAAGATAGAGTCCGAAAATCAAATTTCATAGTCCACACAATTGAATTATGCAGTCGTATTTTGCGTAACGAATTTCCGTACTGCGGTAGTTGTATAGTTTTGAAATAAATTACCCTGAATAAGATCAAATCCTTGGTTGCTACTAATGCAGCTTAATTTAAGATCACAAAGAATTAGTTATGTTTATTTATATTTTCTAATTAAAGTGACAAACGAGTCTAAAGTCTACCTGATAGTAAATGGCTACTGCATTCAATGGACTCCTGGTATTTAAAAATTCAAATTTTTAGCAATTTAAGACCAAAGGCTAGCTACTTTGATTAAAATTAATATACCATGCAATATAATGTAAAAACTAAACATAATATTACCTGTTCGATGCCACCGGTATACTGAGCGATTGACTTATCAACATTAGGGGTGAAGGAATTATTGTCTTCCGAGTTCCACATAGGTTTCATATCAACAAAATACTTTTGTACATACTCAACAAAAGGTTCATGGTCCACCTGAAATATCCAAGAAGAAATCCAATCAGAATCCCAAATTTTCAGTGTAACCTAATCATTGTATTAATTGATGTTAAGCAATGTGTGTTTTGGTGTATACTGTATACTAAGGCCGGCTAAGGCTGAACTAAGACTAAGACTGAATACTAAATTTAAGGCCGGCAACGCATCTGCAATTCCCCTGGTGTTGCAGTTGTTCATGGGCGGCGGAATTCACTTACCATCAGGTGAGCCGAATGCTCGTTTGCCGCCTCTCCTATAAAAAAAAAACTATTATGTATTAAATAATGAAATAATAAGTATGTTTTTTATCACATTATTAAATGAACTATCTTGAGATACCTCATTACAGGGGTGTCACTTCCACTATGGAAGGTATGGAGCACTCCATACCTCAAGTTTTTCAAGGTATGGAATTCCATAGCTGAAATTAGGAAAACTAAATACCCCATATAAATAAATCGCAAGCCCTTAAACCTCAATACCCCACATCTTATAGTTCAATAAATAAGTTGAGTATATACACTGCAAACTCTTAAACCTTAATACCCCACGAGTAATGCGAACAAATTTGAAAATCGCGCCACACGCAGTTATTCAGTAGCGCGCATGCGCGAAACCACTACACGTGTGTGCGTTGAACTAATGCCTACGTTCACGCCTTATCGCTATGTGTACATATACACAGTAACATGGGAGCTCGTGCATTTGTGTTAGTGCCTCAGGAAAATTGTGATATTCGGCAATGTAGAAAGATTTAAGCAGTGTTTTATTGTAATATTGGAGATGAAGTTGCAAAAGTTTACTTTTTTGTACGTGGGGCTTTAACAATTATGGGTTATTTACTCGATTTGTTTATTAAACTGTAAGACGTGGGGTATTGGGGATTGAGATTTCGCGTTTAACTTTATCACAGCGATTTTCCATACCTCAGATTTTTACAAAGTGACACGCCTGCCTCATTAAATCGAGAGCCTCGATAGCTGAGGGGTTAAGTGCTTGCTGTAAATTTCACAGTACATGTGTATTCCGGGTTTGACCTCTGCTGGCACCAATGAAATTGTTATTGTGAGAATATAGAGAATGCCTCAACGCATTAAGTCCGCCCTTTGTATTCTTTTAGATTAAGGAATGCAATAAAGAATAAATAAATAAATGTCTGAGAAATTATGAACAATATTTCGTAAGTGAAGTCCGCCAACACGCATTAGGGCAGCGCGGCGAACATTTCTTTACATCAAAACCCTGTCAGAACCTCCTGTGCCCAGCAGTAGGACATATATAGACTAACTTTACTTATTTTAATTTAGCTGATTAAAACGTTAATGAAAATTGTCTTACACCAACTGCAGCAACAACCATTCTGTTAGGCGTGTAGTGATTCTTCAAATAATTTAGAATAATTCCTCTGTCTATCTTATAAACATTTTCTTGTGGACATATTTTCGGTAATCCCAGAGTGTTTCCTTTGTAAGCAGCCTATTTATGACAACAATAAAAACAGTCAATAATCAACACATAAGTACATAATATAGTATTCATAGTAAAATACACTAATACACTCCCACACTCACATTCATTCATAAAATTCCTACAGTATTATACTGACAGCGTGAACAAGTCTCATTATTTGTGTAATTAGGCCGGTATTCAGAAAGAATCTCGAATTTAAACTCAAACTGCTATATTACACTAATTTTGACATTGTAAATTACGAGGTTAACCTCGAATTTGTATATGAATACTGGCTTTAAAGTCTACTTAAATCAGAGCAATGGGTATCAGGAGTAGGGCATTTTGGTTCAAATCACAGATGGATCCAGTATTTGTGCAACACGACTGTCGTCATATATCCTGATATTTTAAATAATATTACCGTTTCTAGCATCAAACAGCTTTAATTAAATTTATCTTCCATCATGGTCTCCAAGTATCATTACTACTTGTGAAAGCAAATGTAGTGTTTAACAAAATATTGTTTTGTATGCTGTCACATCTATGTAGCTTATATCAACCAATGCGAGTGCAGGCATGTGTGGTGAATCCAAAATATGTACCTATCTCCTCCTTAATCTATGCTAAATGTTGACTATAGAAGAAACCAGTGGGCTTATTAGATTTAAAATTCACAGACATCTCGCAAATTATTATAATTTTTACTATAACACCTATTAATGAATTTTTGTGTGAAGTTTCTTTGTTAGTTTCTTTGCTACAAGAACAGTTATTATTGTCTAAACTTCAAACTGAAATAAAAATTCTGGAAGTTACATGTGGTAAATTTACAAATTTGGTACAACCGACTTTATTATAAATATTTTGTTGATTTTTTAAAAACCGCTCGACCGATTTCGATAAAATTTAAATGGGGTCACCTGGGAAGTATACCCTATGAAACAAAAAAAAAGAATTATCCAAATCGGTTCATGTGTCATTGAGTAATCGGTGAACATACATAAAAAAAAAGATGCCGACAAATTGAGAACCACCTCCTCCTCCTTTTGTGGAATCTGTTAAAAACAAGTAAAAATGACTCATCAGTCACCACAGTCCACCAGACAGTAAGTGGATGGTATATCAATACCCTTACAACCTATCAAAAGTCCACTGTTGAACATAGGCCTCCCCCATAGACTGCCTCATAGGGCATTTCCCATAGTTGTCGTGCTTGGCAAGAGCGTTGGCAACTGCAGTTTTTTTATTTTTTACTTGTAATTAGAAAGACCCTGCTGCCCATCTCCTGGTGTGTTTTCCTCTATTGTCGCTTACGACACCCACTGGACGTTATATTTCTACAGTGCCACAATATAGGGTTGACATGGATGTTATAACCCATAAAAACTATCCTCAACAAAGAATTAAAATATTGATGAGAACCCCGAAGCCTAAGTTGGCCCAAAGCAAAATTCAAAGAATATAATGTATTTGTTATAAAAAAATCTTAAATAAAGAAATGAAAAACATACAGCATGAATCATATCCATTAAAATAGTTTCTTGTTCTGGCCTCATTGACAATGTTTCTAATTCAAATGCAACTGCCTGTCTTGCCGCCTCAATTTCGTCAGTAGATAACTGTGGCCTCAAAGTAACCTCTGCCAATACCTGAAAACATATAGTGCATTTCTTTCATTTTATCTCTATTATAGACTAATAAAAATAATATAAAGTATTCAATAACCATCATATATTTACAACAGATGTAACTGTGTCACTCCTTTCTACTAAGGAAAAATCTTTGTCGGGCAGCTGACAGTTTATGGGTCAGAAATGAAGAGGAAGATGTACTAAAGTAACATAATATTTTATCATAATCAAAATTACAAACAAACCTCACTACAAGTCTCTTATACTTATATTTGCCTGTCAACATTATTCTTCATAATATTATGACTTAATTTTTTATACTTAGTTAAAGCAAAATATCCCTTAACCAAATCTGGCAACGTTAAGCTTAAAGATACTTTTTTTTTGTACAATCATAACCACAATTTTTGTGCCCATAAAAAGGATGTGATCACTGGAAATCTATGTCGCTGAAAAGCCACGAATATTATGTAATACATTTAGTTTTAATTAAGTGTTACTGTAATTTTACAAAAAAGTCATGTTGGCTTAAGGGCATTTACCACCCAATCCCTCTCCCCACTTCACCTTTATTAAGGTGTCTTACAGTAAAACCACACCAAAATATAAAATAATTTTTAGAATATACCTGTGTAACAGCTTCAAGACCTTTAGAGTCAGCACTGGCAGCATACACAGTGGTATCGCGGGAACCTTGGCAGTCACAAATTCCTCCATGCCTTTCCAACTCCCTCAACATCACATCACGCGTTGGATATTTATGAGTGGCCTAGTAATTATATAGATATTTTACAAAAGTTATATATTATTTTAGTATAGTTATAAAACTTTTTTTACATTTTTTTTTTTTTTTGGAGAATTGATTTTCAAAGGCACTATTAATTTAATAATCAAGAAGGACTTCACCAAGTGTTGTCCCAGAAAAAAGAAGCGTCGAAAATGCAGAACAGTGAGAATTTGGAAAAGATACTCTGCCTAATAGATAAAAAAGAGCAGCTTTAGTTCAAGACCAATACAAAAGTCCAGAGGTCTGTCCACGTTTAATGAACAGCCTGACTTACCACATGCCAAAGTCTGACGATTTTAATGAAATAGTATATATTATGTGTTAAATTTATCTAAAACTCTAGATACCATTATTAACAAATAATCATATTATATAAGACAAACTAATGTCTTATATAATGTGATTATTTATTAATAATGGCATCAATTACGTAATTGCATTACATAAGGAATAGCAGAACTCAATGTTACTGACTGCTGAAGCAAGCTTTGGCTTTAAATCCCAACTACAACTAATATATTTCTGCTATTTTAATATAGTTGTCCTAATATTTACATTGGATTTGTCATTGTCTAATTTACAAATTCATGAAGAAAACATAGAGGTATAAATTGATTTATAGGTATGTTACTTCATTTACCATTGCAAATCAATAATAATTTCATTGTTTCAAAAAATATTCCTGTCACCCTAAAACTAAGTTGCAAAAGTTGATGAAATTCACTCATGTGAAAATATTATAATAGTAAAAACCTTCAATAGTCAATTCTAGTTAATAAGCAAATACAATTAAAATAACATTTTACACAATAAATGAGTTTTTAAATTGTAGTGATTAAGTTGTCGATGCATAAATTAATTTATTTATTTATAAAATTTGTAAAAGGATGTTTTTAGTTATGTGTTTTAGATTAAGTTTAGCAACTAATTATCGTATAAAAACTATTGGACATTTGCATGCTGTTGAAAACAGCTAAATAGGTTTTCTTAACACATTGTTTAATAACACCAAGAACAAAATATTTTTGTACCTATTTACTAGCAAATAAAGAATTTGAATTTGAAAAAAAAAACTATAAAAATGATCAGAAACATATTTTAGCAAATATTACTTACACCAAAACTTAATTTTTCAAGAAAGTGACAAATGCCACTTGGATAAGCTACCTCATATCTTGGCCCTGAATCAATAACCACTGAAAAAAAAAAAACAAATGTACAGAAAACAATATAAAATATTGCAAAACAAAGGTTGCTTAGTTGATTTAGGTCTTGTGACTTTCATATTATTGATTGCTTAAGAAAAGGCTTTCATGTGTGTATATTATTGTATATGTTTTCAGTAACATAGGTTTATAAGTTTTATATACTTATGAGTAATGGATAATTAATAAGTATACACATTAGTAAATTAAATAAGTATAAATAATATAGAAACTGTGTGGTGGCTAGTGGCAGTGTGAGAATATCAAATACCCCATATCATTCCATGGGTGTCATAAGAGGCGACAGAAAGAAGCAAACCAGGAGATGGGCAGCAGTGTCTTCCTAATAACTAAAAATAAAAAACCGCAGTTGCCAACCATAACAAACACGGCAATTATAGAAAACTTTGAGCAATCTATTGATTAATATTGTGGCACAGTGGCTTAGTAATGAGTTATTGCGCTAGGGGCCGCGGGTTCGAATCCTGCATGGAACAAATATTTGTATAGCCTACAAATATTTGTTCCGGGTCTGGATGTTTGTCCTCGTGCAATTTATGTTTGTAAACTGCCTCCACTATACAGGAGAAATCCTAGTGTGGGGGTAACATTTAAAAAATTTAAAAAAAAATTAAGAAAAAAAGTCTATCAATGAAACCTATGTTCATCAGTGGACTTTTGAATCTGTAACAGTAACAATAGTATAGTTATAGTAATGGTAAGAATAGTATAGTTATGGTTACAGTAACATTAGTATAATAACAGTAACAGTACCTAGTATAGATATACAGATAAATGTATTGATGTAACAAATACTAATAATAGTGACCGACCGAAGGTTCGGTTTCGGTTTCGGCAAGTTTCGGCAAAAAAATCCAGTCTCTGTAATAGTTTCGGTTTCGGCAAAAAATCTGCCGAACCTTCGGCGGCGCCGAGACTAGGTGTTCGTGGATTATCGTGCGTCGTTCGGAAGAGTTCGTGACTCGTGTATTATTTCTGTAGCTGATACAGAAACTTTTTTTATTTAATATAGATTATAAATAATACTTATTGAAAATCACTCTTTTGTTTTATTACCACTGGTTCAAAAAAAAAACCTCTGTCCTTGGGAGAACCAGCAAGAAACCCACCACGATTTTTTTTATATAACAGCTTACAATCAGAGGCGTAGCGTGGACTAATATAAATGTGAGCGAAATTACATAAGCGAGGCCCCTTTTCTTTCGTTCCAAAGGTCTACCCAATAGATCTATCCTACCAAACATGCTTTGACACGACATACACTTCAATGTAACAATCGCGGTCTTTGAAGGTAGTTACAACTGCCACGTAGTCGCACTTAAGAGGGACTTCTTGCAAAGCTCCTTACAAACACACTTAAATTTGTGACTTTCTTTTTCGAGCGTAAAAGTGATCAAATTAATTAGTCATCTGTGGTAAAGTCTGGGGGCATCGCATTTTAGGGGGCCTCGCGAGGCCTCTTTAAATGCGAGGCCGTGGAAGAGGGCCCACTTCGCCCACGCCTAACTATGCCACTGCTTACAATCATGTACGTAACACAATTAACAACACAAAACAAATTAGAAATAGCTTGGCAGTATCCCCTCATTCCCAGGGGTTATTATCATCCATAAATTCCGTATTATTATAATAACCCTTTTTATACAAACTTAGTTTATTCAAGTTTTTGAACTTTGAGCAGATTTTGTATATTTTCTGGTATTTTGTTGTGTGTATATTGTGTGTATGCTCTCATTGAATAATATTAAAAATATTGTGAACAGAATAAAATATGTTCTCAATTAGCGAGTAACTTTTAATGGGTGTAAATGTTGATTTTTTTTTACAAAATTGACTTAAAAACTATTTCTTAACGTTAACTTGATGATTTTTACTTTAAAATAATAAATATATTGCTACATGACTATTACAATGACTGTTTTTCATTAAAATGCATTACCTATTTGTATATGTATAAAATATATACTAGAATTCAGTATACAATAAAAAAAAATTAACATGTCTAAATAAGTATCAGTTTCGGTTGAAAATCCTGTTTCGGTCGGACACTACTTATAATGCTCTCCAGACTGAATGTTGGTCATGGTGGCCAGTCTCTACAGAACTAGCTATCTTCGCAGGATGGGATTAAAATGCGCGAGTGCGTATACAAGCACAGGTGCACTCTGTATTGTCTCACACTCAGTCCCATGGGATGGCAATTTGTCACAACTGGAGAGAGATCAGGCGTAGAATCTATGGCTTTACAATGTTTTCGAGGTACGGGGTGAAACACGCCTAACTTCCTGTCTTTAGGCTGACACTAAGAATTTTTGGACAGAAAAATTCAATAACTGATTTTGCCTCAACCCATGAAAAGAAAAGTGCGATTCAAGAATGATGTGATCCCTATTTTTCATATCTTGCTTAACTTACCTCCTGCGGTACAAAATTGTCCAAATTTTTTTTCAGATGCTACTCTCAAGCCATTACTCAGCACGGTAACTTCTGTGATTGAATCTTCAGATTTAGCAGAAGAGTAAATTACAGGTGATAGGTTTGGCATAGGCTCTGACAAAGGTGGGAGAGTTTGTACTGATTTTCCTGAATCTTGACTAAATTGTCTAGTTCCCCATCTTATGTTATTAAACCTATAACAAAAAAGTATAAATTTACACAATGCAAAGCCTTAATCAAACTATAAAGCTATTATCATTTTAATTTTTCATTTCTAGGAAACACTTTAAAAACAGGCAATGCCTGCCACATGCAAAATACTTGTGAACAGGTCTTGTTTGCGGGGACTTGTTGGTTGAATTATTAGCATATTTCATAGTATTTTTATAATAGGAGATGTGTTGATTACTTATGAATCTCTTTTTTAATTTTGATTAAAAAAGGAACCATTAGTGAAAAACAATAACAAAAAAGAGGATATCTGTGGCAGTTTTCTTGCCTTTGCTAACCCAGAGAGAGGAACCTCACTTCAAAATTATAATAGATTTAAAAAAACATGCACTAGGCAAACTAAATTTTAATTTCTTATGTTAAAAAATGAAGAAGTTTCATTTAATTTAATTTCAAATGGCATCCCTGCAGAGAAGTTCTGATCTACTAACATACATTTTATTTGGCTACAAAATTAAATGTAAAAACTATTTTGATCTTGATCTAACTTAGAAACTAACATAGATTAAAGACAAGAACACAATATGACACCAAATTCAACTTTATTCAAAACAGGTTTCTTAAAGTATTTTTTATTTTATTTCGTGAGTGGATTTGCTTGTGTTCTAAACTGATATGTTTTATATAAATTTATCAAAAAAAAAAAACATGGATTTGTAAATAACAAACAGTTTTTAATTCATTACCTATTATAGTTAATTATTATATATATATATATATATATATATATATATATATATAGTTTTTGTACAGAAAATGTGAACTTGATAAGAACATTGGTCCCCAAGATCAATGCATTCATATTTTTTTATTTTATATTAGTAAATTAAATAGCTAATAAATTGTGACAGAATAGCATTATGTACTTACATGTTTACATGTACTTACTACAAGCCTCGGGATATTTCTTTATTTAACAACAACTCATGACAGACAGATTTTATTTGGCTAACTCCATACTTTTTAAATATGGAATTATACATTACGTTACTTGAGCATTTAGCCACTGAAGCGTCCATGGTGACTGTAGTCCCCACAAAAATTCTTGCCTTACCTGTCCATGTTGGCTATAGTCACCAAATGATATCGTTCAGTTTAAACATATACAGCGCTAGAGACAGTCGTTAATAATGCAGTAGAAAGTTAAAGAGATGGTGCTATTTGAAATTTGTCATCCGTGAGAGTGGATTTTATCTGTGTAATAGTATCAAAATATTCAGAAAAATATATGTGAAAATGACAGTTCACCATTTTTATTTGTGAACTATTAAAGTGTGTGGAGTGCAATCAAAAATGTGATACTGTTTTTGTATGTTATTTCTAATGTTATTGTACATCAAATTAATTGTGAAGATATTTTCTTAAGGAAATATGTATCATTACGACAATTCCAAAATGTTTACATATAATAATTTAGCTTGAAATTTTAATGTATTTTAATTATATGCGATCATCGTGTCTTGATTATACATTGTTCAAAATGTATTCTAATCGGTTTTTTATGTTAAATAAATACAAAATATAAAAGAATGCTTCACTATTAACAAATTGATGGCTATTTAAAATGAAATGTTAAGATGTGTCTAGAAATTATTAAAATGCATCTCATCATTCATGATTTTAGTGTTGAGGAGTGAATATTTATGTTGAGTAAATATAAAAGTAATATATATTTATCTATATTGAATACATAACATTGGGATATTGGTTATCATTTTAAAGGTAATATCATGTACTATTACAATATAAAATAATTGTCTCCAGTAACTATTATACTTTTCTTGAGGTGTTCTTAGATTCGTCGTGGGAGAAACATAGGTTATAGAATTTTTCTTTCTTGTTTTGTGGATACTAAAAGTAACACAATTTTCAAATTCTAGAATAATTCTATTTTGTTTCAATTATATTCCATTTAGAATTTTATTAATTTTGGGAACCTAAACATGAATTTATAATTTTTATAAACAATTGTTTTGAATATTATCCGACATTTAGCCGACAGACACTGTAATTTAAGTTGAGCGGTAGTGACTGAAATTTATTGCGCTACATACTGAAGCTTTAAATTTCATACAATATACATACAATGTTATTATTCGAAGATAGTTTAAAATAAGAAAAGATAACATATTATACTTACCCATTTTTAATAGAAAATAATCTGGTGAAAAGAACTTTCATGTCTGTGACATGAGACATGTTTCAGAGCTGTAATGATGAAATTGGATGAAATATTAATTTTATTAAAGTACTCCTATAACTTAAATTTTGGTTTTGCCACCCAATAACCTAAAACTTAAACCTGAAATTAATGTAATTTTTAATTGTATGTACTAGGCATAGATAAATAAATATGTAGCAAGCTGGTACTATTTTTTTTTTGGAGTTTATGGCCTGGTATCTAGACCTTTAGGCCAAGTCTTAAGTATTTTTATTCGGTTTATTGTAATTTCCCCACTCCTTCATAGTATACTACTTCACAATATGTTGATGCGTCACATTGTGCAGTTCTTGGGAGATTTTGGCGGCAACTTGATCCAGCAGACAGCTGATAGTTGGCGATGGTATCTAAAGGTGCCTATGCAAACAAACAGCTTATCTTGAGAATCCATCACCATCAGAGCACTTGTTTCACTGTTTCCACTAATAGTTCACATGCGTAGAGACTTAATACACAAAATCGCAACACTTTTACATATCAAAGTCCACTTCAAACCATTATTTAAACAATAATACAGGAGCAGCAAACCGTCGCCGGTCAATTTCCCGCCAAGACTGGGAGTCTGGGAAGCTGGTACTAGGTACCATAGATAAATAAATATGTAGCAACCAGTGCTGCGAACTCTTAAAAATATTTAATGCTAAATCCATATTTGTAAAATGCCAAAAATATGCTAAAATTTGCGGAATATGCTAAAGAAAAATGCTAACACGATTTTACAAGTTTTATTTTAGAAAATGGTACAATATTCATAAACTACAATCAGTCAGTCCGTGATACAAACAAAATATTCAGATGCCCGTCGGTATCTTCTTGTTCAAGTGCCATCGGTGGGTCTAGAGCAGAAGACCTACCTCATTTGATCAATATTACCTTTCGTAATATTGGATCAGATATCCAAATCTTTATAAAATTGCGCTTAATAATGTTAAAGACAAACTGTTCCTCAGTTTTGTTTTTAACAAGTTAACTTGACTGAATACACGTTTGAATGTGGCAACATCAGCAACATTGTTGCATATCCAGCCAGTTCCAAGAAGGGAATGTTTCCTGCAGCGTCGTTGAAGTTCAAGACTTCACACCAAAATTCAGTGGTGGATGAAGTACCACTGCATACGATCAATGTTTTTCCATTGTGATACAAGCTTATCGATTTTTGTTGCATTCGTAGTAAACTTTGCGCTATTTCTCTATAATATTCATGGAATGACATAATATATTATTCAATGACAAATTTCTACTTGTACCCTACATGTATCCATCTAGCGCCAAGTAGCGCCGGTGATATGCTACTTGACGCTAGATAGCAGGATATATGTCAATATCGATGAAACATGACGTGAGATTACGGTTTTTCTTTTAGACCAGGAAAATGCTAAAAAATATGATATATGTTAAATTGGAATTTTTAATGCTAAATCAGTCGAAAATATGCCAAATTTAGCCATAAAAATGCTAAATTGGCAGCACTGGTAGCAAGCAAAGAGAAAAGAGAATATAATCACTACGTTTAAGAGGCGGGACTTCCATAGAAAAAGTAAATGCATGAAAGTACGCCTACGCCAAGCTAGAGATATTCACTTAACATCGATATATCGAATTTATTCGATGTTTTTCGTAAGATATATAGGATTGATTCGATGTTTTCACAAATATTTATTGTATTCGATATATCGATATATTTATTTAGAGAAACATCGAATATTAGCTTTTTTGTTCAATTTTAAGAAAAGTTCAATAAGATAGTGACATCTGTGAGTTCGATCGACCGTTCACTCTCTATGTAGTCTGCGAATTCTATAGATTCATTATATTTACTTTCATTCACTCACTCTCACTCTTCTTGCGTCGTCTTCTACTGTTTGGTGGTAACGCAATTAAATAATTGTTTTGATTGTTTATCTAAGACAAGTTTATGTAAGACTTTTACTTGCTTCTCTGGTCTCTGATTCTACATTCACACATACAAAATCAAGGACTACAAACTTTGCGCGTTTCACTGGAAAAAAGTATTATTAAACTTTTATGGAAAGTATTCGATAGTGAAAAATATCGATGTTTTCTAGCGATATATCGATAAACATCGATGCTGGGATCCGATGTTTTACATCGAATATAAATATCGATATATTATTTAAGTGGACACCCCTACGCCAAGCTATAGTGCGCGCAAGATAACTCTGCGCGCGACTGATGGCGTACTTAATGTTACCAAATTAATTAATATTTTTTTTCCTTCAATTAATCTTATTACTAGAATTACACAGGGTAATTTTTAATTTACTGAAGACCTTTTGGGAATATATTATTTACATCATAACAACAACATCTGTAAGAAAAAAATATATATTTTTGGAGCATTTGTACCAGGTAGACATAAAGTATATTCGATTAAAATGCAAAAGAATTTATGTTGAAGATTGTTGGTGAGAAATGTTTGAATACTACCCAACGAATTTCTGCGAAAACTTTGAAATTATCCCATTCGGTTATTTTTTGGTCGGTCCCGCTCTCGCACCGTTCGTGTCTGACGAACTTCATAGTTTTAAATTTTCTCGCGATTTAGGATAACGGGACTATTTTGCGTCCCGGAGCTTTGTTTCGGGACAACGGGACAGGTAACCGAGAAAAGGGACAGTCCCGTTCAAAACGGGAGGTATGGTCACTTTACGTTAATATTCCTTGAATTTCAAGCAAGATTAACGTTGACGCTGCTACTCTATATTTGACGAGTGTAAATTTTTATTATATGAACATATTTTATCATTGCCTAAGCATGGCTCTGTTTGCAGAATCTCAAGAAACCTTATAACTTTTTCATTATTCCACTCTATCGAGCCATACGTGCGACTCCGTTGCGCACACCGTGCACAATGAGACAAACTTAGGGTGGCCGCTTAAACGCGTTAATTCATGCGTTAATCTCTTTGATGTACCGACACTAGAGTTATCGCCCAACGGCAAATGGCATTGTTCTTGCCGTTGTAGAATTATCGCGTTAAGTTTTTTTTTATAGGATAAGGTTTACAAACGAGCACACAGTCCACCTGATGGTAAGTGGTTGCTGCGGCCCATAGACATCTACATCTATCCTCTGTTAGAAATCAAAATGTAGATGCGTTGTCACCCGTGAGGACTAAGATGGAATGCCTCATTTCCAGTAAAAAGGGCCTCCGGCCACCTACACACACCAAGCGAAACGCAGAGGTAAACCTCTACTTCACGCTGGTTTTCTGTGAGGTCGTGGTACTACCCCGGTTCGAGACGGCCCATCCGTGCGACAGCAAAAGCAGCCGCGTGGCTCTACCACTGTTAAAGTGGTGGTTACACCTACATTCAACGCCCATCAACGCGATAATTAACGACATTTCTCGTTAGTGTAGCCCGGGCATTATAGTCATGAGATTTGGTATCCTTTTCTATCTTGCATTTTTGCCATAAGGAATTATCTTCTCCCTTGCACACTATGTTGGTCTATACTCCAGTATATTCTAATGGCGGCTCTTCACGTTGGCCAACATAGTGGCGAATGTGTTGGCAAAGATATTGGCCAAGAATTTGTGATCGCGTCCACACGTTGGAAGGCCGTTCAGTTTGGAGGTGGGCAAAGTGTATCATTTTTGGGATTGGAACATTTGCATCTTGATCACTGAAATGTTCCGAAACACTGATATGTTTCATTTGGCTCATTTGTATCATCTACTCAAAAGATATAAAAGAAAGAATGTACCGAATACATTAAGTTGCGTCGCGGGCGTTTATTACTGACTGATCCGTGAAATGTTATGTGACAACAATGCTGAATAATATAAGTGCTTAGATTATTTATTGTGTACCGTAATAAGATTGTATATAAAATCGATTCTCCTTCATACTTTAACAAAAATGTCACTATGTCAATTCATTATTTACAAAAATGTCCATTTACACAAAACAGAAATGTCTATGTACACAGAATTTACTCGTAAAGTATCATAACTCTAAACTTTATGATGAAAAGGAAGAAAGTAAAGTCACAATAATTACTACGCAAAGAAATCCTAAACATAACTCAGTATGTTTTCGTAAACAGGCGCTAATGAATATAAACAATTTGACAAGTGCCGCATCAACGTAAAATGACAACTTGTTAATGCAAACGTTACATACAAAAAACGACCGTATAGTATTTGACACATAAGCGCCTTAGTGGTAATTTTTACGTGCATGAATAACATCAGCGAAAATCCGTACGAGTTGAGTGATACACTTCTTATTTGTTATCTCTATCTGACTTGTGTGAATTATAATTATTTCGCTCGCTCACTCGCCACTCGTGAGTCAATAGTTAAGTTAATCATTGTCTCAGTCTCTCTCTCTCGCTCGTGGCTCAGTCGCCTCGCAAGCGACGCGTCGCGCGAAATGAGCAAAGAGGAAAGTAATGTTTCACTGTTCCAGATACAAATGATACATTTGAAACGTTGTTACTGAACCAATCTTTTGTGTCACTTCAGTGATTCGTATCAGTTAGTCGTTTCCGTAAAGAGATACACACGCCTATTCAGTTTGCTTCGGTTCAGGCCAATGTGCGGACGAATTTATTAAAATGATTATTGAAGCGCTAACGGCTGCTGCGGTTTATTTATTCACAGCATACCACTATTTTATATTTAATTTTCACTATTTTTAATATTTAATATTTTTAATATAAATTTTTAATATTTCTTTATTATACACTAACGTCATACAGATAAGTAAACTATATAAGCATTAACACACCTAGGCATAGGTATAATTAACACTTTTACAACTAAGGCCTGGAAAATATTCGAAACCTGTCTATGAAACTGTTGTCAAATTTTATTAAACTAAATCTTTTTAAAAAGGGTTATTATATAATTATAGAATAAAACTTAATAATAATAATAAATAATTCATTTCCTCAAACATTAAAGTTACATTATACGATCAGTGATCGAGGTCACCTAGTAAGCGAAATAATGCCTGTAACAGGTGACTTCGCTCTTCCGTAGCTAAAAATTACAGTATTATTAACGGAATAAAGTAACTAATAGGGAATAATAAAGACAGTAAAAACATGATTTTAGTATCCTACTTTTTAATTTGATTTTAGTATTCTACCTAGTCTCATAGCATTAATACATCAATAAATAAATTAATACATCAATCACTACAACGTGAATGTGTATAAGGGTGATCAAAAAGAAATGGAAAAAAAGAAATTTTGTTTCTTGACGGCTCCATGGCGTAGTGGCTTAGCATTTTCTGCTTGGTAGGGCTCTATAAAGCGAAAAGTTTTTTCATTGGTTATTGTTACTGCCGTTATGTAGACACTAGTTATGATGCGTGCATATAAAATTTAAATCAGGTGCGTGCAATCTTTCTGGGAGCTCGTAGCAAACTGAACGTGTGCCCGACGTGTGGATGCGGCGGCCAATACTCTGCCACAACCCTTTGATCTTTTGTAAAAAACCGACACCAGACGGATCTCGCGCCAACTTGTGGGTCATCGTTCCAATACATACCAACGTAGCTTAAACACCCGCTCTACACGATGGCCATCGTTGTTGTTCAACACATTCGCCAGTATGTTGGCCAACGTGAAGAGCCGCCTTAAGGCCGGCCACATACATACGGAATTCCGTTTCGTGATTCCGTTTCGGAATCCCGAATCGGGATTCCGTAAATACATCACACACACACGTTTTTTTCCGTTCGGAATAACAAGGGTCAGTTGAGAGACGTTAGCCATTGAGTCTAGACATTCGGCCAGGGAATAATGACGACAATTTTCTAATTGCAAATTCCTTTGTTGCTGTATCATTCTTACTAGGTGCATCCCCTTATCACCCTAAGCTTGCAATATAGTCAACACTATGTAAAAAGATCTATATATCCAGAGATATTTTTTAAATATTTATGTATGTAAATTCTATCGACGAATTATTAAATAAAATAAGATGAAAGGTTACGAAAAGCTATACACCTACAAGATTAAATGTATAAACATACATAAATACACCTACTCGCTTCGGTCGTGCGACGAACACTGAGCGTATTCCGTACGGAATTTACGTATGTGTGTTGCGACTCGTACAAAATCTATGGAAGACGTGCGTTCGGAGCGGCATTTTTTCGTTCAGGATCCCGAACGCACAGGCGGTCATACGGAATCTCGAATCGGAGAAATTCCGTACGGAAAAATAACGTAGGTGTGTGGTGGGTCATAGATTTTATATGGACTTGCTGCGTTCGGGATTCCGAACGCAGCAAGTCCATATAAAATCTATGACCCGCCACACACGTACGGTAGTTTTCCGTTCGATATTTTGAGGGCAAAACGGGATTCCGTTTGTGTGTGGCCGACCGTTCGGAATTCCGAAACGGAATCTCGAAACGGAATTCCGTATGTATGCGGCGGGCCTCTATGTTTAAGGTCTACAATGAGCCAAGTGCGGCTAACCAATCTTTCCATTTTATCTATCGAAAATGACAAGAAAGTAAATTTTGATAATATATTAGAATATTTTAGAAAAATAAAGTCCCGTTAGTATGTATAGCATTTTTATTTTATTTTGGGGGCTGTTTGATAGAAAACCGGCCTGGGTGCTACACCGCCACTAGTTACTGTAAGGTTTGATACTGTAGAGAAGCAATAATGTGATGAAAATATTAAACGAAATTTAATAATAACACTATTCAGCACTTTCCATATTGAAAAAAAATACGCATTTCGTTTTCCGTAATGCTGTATATACTATTAATATCTTCAAAATTGTATCATGGACACTCTATTATGGCGGCTCTTCACGTTGGCCAACACACTGGCGAATGTGTTGGCCAACAACGATGGCCATCGTGTAGAGCGGGTGTTTAAGCTACGTTGGTACGTATTGGAACGATGGCCCACAAATTGGCGCGAGACGGTGGCTCTTCACGCTGGCCAACACACTGGCGAATGTGTTGGCCAACAACGATGACCATCGTGTAGAGCGGGTGTTTAAGCTACGTTGGTATGTATTGGAACGATGGCCCACAAGTTGGCGCGAGATCCGTGTGGTGTCGGTTTTTTGCAAAAGATCAAAGGGTTGTGGCAGAGTATTGGCCGTCGCGTCCACACGTTGGGCGCACGTTCAGTTTGCTACGAGCTCCCAGAGTGATTGCACGCACCTGATTTAAATTTTATATGCACGCATCGTAACTAGTGTCTTCATAACGGCAGTAACAATGACCAATGAAAAAACTTTTCGCTTTATAGAGCCCTACCAAGCTGAAAATAATAGAATAAGTAGATAATATTTTCAAATTGCAAAAAAATATGTATCAGAATCTTGACAAATATAGAAAAAACGGACTCATGCAGACCACATTTTAGAAAACTTAGTATACTCACACTTACGTTTATTTACATTATTGAATGTTGTAAGTTCGTTAGAAAACATCCAAATCTATACGATCCTGTAAATACTGTTAAAAGAAATAATCGAACTCAAAATAAATTGAATATTCAATTCTCAAAATTAAAATTATTCACAACAGGTCCCCATACGATGGTAATTAAAATATATAATAATGTTCCAAATAACTTCAAAAATATTGACAACACCAAGTCTTTTATAAAAAAATTAAAGTCATTCTTAATCGATAAAAGTTATTATAATTTAAGTGAATTATTTATAGATGCAAATAAATAGTAAATGTATGTGTAATAATTTAAAAAAAAATTGATGTTAGACTAGCAAATGTTAAGAAATAAGATAATAACTACCCTCTTATAAATTGCTATGCCCCTACGGGGCGTCACTTGATGTATGATGTATTTCTTGTGGCATGCAAATTATATAAAGAAATAAAGAAAAAAAAGAAAATTGTTTGTAAAACACGTCTTTTTAAAAAAATGTTATTATACACTAGGATTTTCTCCTGTATCGTGGAGGCAGTTTAGAAACATAAATTGCATAAGGACAAACATCCAGACCCGGAGAAATTATGTGCAGGCTATACAAATACTTGTTCCGTGCGGGATTCGAACCCGCGGCCCCCCAGGCAGCAACTCATTGCTAAGCCACTACGCCACGGAGCCTTTTTTCCATATCTTTTTGATCACCCTTATCTTATACACATTCACGTTGTAGTGATTAATTGTGTATTAATTTATTTATTGATTATAGGAGAGGGGGCAAACGAGCATGCGGCTCACCTGATGGTAAGTGACTACCGCCGCCCATGAACAACTGCAACACCAGGGGAATCGCAGATGCGTTGCCGGCCTTTTAAAAAGGAGTACGCTCTTTTCTTGAAGGTCCCTAAGTCGTATCGGTCCGGAAAAATCGCTGATGGTAATCGATTCCACAAGGAGGTCGTGCGAGGAAGAAAACATCTTCTAAATCGCACAGTGGTGGACCGCCAATCATTATGATGTATTAATTAATTTATTAAATATCTTAAAATCTATAATATATAATATATATTAAAATCAAATAAAAAAGTAGGATACTAAAACCATGTTTTTACTGTCTTTATTTTTTTTTCTTTTTTTTTTAAAAAACGTTACCCCCACACTAGGATTTTCTCCTGTGTCGTGGAGGCAGTTTACAAACATAAATTGCACAAGGACAAACATCCAGACGCGGAACAATTATTTGTAGGCCATACAAATACTTGTTCCGTGCGGGATTCGAACCCGCGGCCCCCAGCGCAACAACTGATTGCTAAGCCACTGCGCCCCGGAGCAGTTTTTTTTTTAAAAAACGTTACCCCCACACTAGGATTTTCTCCTGTGTCGTGGAGGCAGTTTACAAACATAAATTGCACAAGGACAAACATCCAGACGCGGAACAATTATTTGTAGGCCATACAAATACTTGTTCCGTGCGGGATTCGAACCCGCGGCCCCCAGCGCAACAACTGATTGCTAAGCCACTGCGCCCCGGAGCAGTTTTTTTTTTTAAAAAACGTTACCCCCACACTAGGATTTTCTCCTGTGTCGTGGAGGCAGTTTACAAACATAAATTGCACAAGGACAAACATCCAGACGCGGAACAATTATTTGTAGGCCATACAAATACTTGTTCCGTGCGGGATTCGAACCCGCGGCCCCCAGCGCAACAACTGATTGCTAAGCCACTGCGCCACGGAGCCGTCAATATTCCCTATTAGTTACTTTATTTCGTTAATAATACTGTAATTTTTAGCTATGGAAGAGCGAAGTCACCTGTTACAGGCATTATTTTGCTTACTAGGTGACCTCAATCACCGATCATATAATGTAACTTTAATGTTTGACGAAATAAATCATTTATTATTATTATTAAGTTTTATTCTATAATTATATAATAAGAATAACCCTTTTTAAAAAGGTTTTGTTTAATAAAATTTGACAACAGTTTCATAGACAGGCTTCGAATATTTTCCAGGCCTTAGTTGTAAGTGTTAATTATACCTATGCCTAGGTGTGTTAATGTTTATATAGTTCACTTATCCGTATAACATTAGTGTATAATAAGGAAATATTAAAAATTTATATTAAAAATATAAAATATAGTGAAAATTAAATAAAAAAATAGTGGTATGCTGTGAATAAATAAACCGCAGCAGCCGTTAGCGCATCAATAATCATTTTAATAAATTCGTCCGCACATTGGCCTGAACCGAAGCAAACTGAACGACCTTCCAACGTGTGGACGCGATCACAATTTCTTGGCCAATAACTCTGCCAACACATTCGCCACTGTGTTGGCCAACGTGAAGAGGCGCCATTAGAAAGAAATGGAAACTCGACTGGGCAGCGTTCGGGAGATTACGACGCACCTTCTCGCCAATTCCTAATGGTGGCCACTCACGGTCAGTTAAACTGAACAGTTTAACTGATGTACATCCAAAAACTGACCGTGAATGCGAAATCTTAAGTTGAAATTTTTAACTGAAGGCAACACACGGATTTTTTCGGGCGTGCTGTCAGTTAAACTGCTCAGTCGAACTGACGTACATCCAAAAACTGATCGTGAATGTGAAATCTTAAGTTAAAATTTTTAACTGACGGCAACCCACGTATTTTTCCGGGCGCACCGTAATCCGCTGGCTTCAGTTCGTTTCCATTATTGGTAAGTACATACTTTCTTAGCAGCTACTTACATTATTTGTATGCTGTTTAGATTTTATATTATTTTACATATTTAGAGAAGTTGTTTTGACGGAGAATGGAGACCAAGGTGATTGTAATGATGTCACCTTCCTTATGGTGGACTTAGAAGGTGGGTAAAGGATCTCAGTGATGCTACTACGTAGAACTATCGTGTTTGGACTCATTTTCAAATAGGTAAATGGAGACCTAGATGATTGTGATGATATCACCTTTATGTTGGTGCAATCCGAAGGTGGTATAGGATCTCAGTGATGACTCTAGATAGAATGACCGCGTTTGAACTCATTTGAATGGGCTCTATAGGAAGACCTAGGTGACTTTTATAACCTCACCTCTTTGATGGTGCAATCCGAAGGTGGACGGCACTAAGTAGAATGATCGTGTTTGAACTCATTTGAAAAGGGTTTATAAAGACCTAGTTCAATGTGATTCTAATACCTTCATGATGGAGAACTAAGAAGGTGGGGCAAAGGATAAAAATAAATAATACATTTATTTAAAAAAATAAAATTTACCATAATGAATAAAATTATCATAATATCTGACCCATTTCTTAAAAGTATCTTAATACTGACCTTATCATGAATAAAAATATCTTTTGAAGTGTTAATATTTTTATATATATATATACGGAACGGATTTCATTTCTCGATCGACGGGGCGCTACCGTGCGCGTTTAGTTGGCGTGACTCCTATAAATTAAAAATATCATTTCCTATCTATTAACTAGTTGTTCCCCGCAACTTCGCCCGCGTGTAATTTAATACGATTGGATTTCATGGGTTTAATGTTTTTGCGCGGAACCCTTATTCTTTTTCTAAATTAAAAGTAGCCTAAGTTCCTCCTTATAATATCAGCTATCTGCCACTGATCGTCTCGTCAAAATTGGTTCAGCCGATTCGGAGATTAGCCGGGATATATAGACAGACAGACAAAAATTTTAAAAATTGTGTTTTTGTTATAAGTACCGTATGTACTTTCATATGTATTTAGTAAAAACTGTTATTTTGACAATACAAACAGACACTTCAATTCTATTTATTTGTATAGATATATATTAATATACAGGAAATGATATAAAATAAGATTTAGATATTATTAAATATCATTTAATTTATCTATATATATGATATTTTATAGGAGTCACGCAAACCAAACGCCCACGGCCACGCCCCACGTTTGAACTAGGGTTGTTGACAAAATATCGAAAAATCTATTTTATTATTTAGAAATATCAATATTTATTTCTAATATTTTTGGACGACATATATTGTTGAAAAAGTTTGATATTGAAATATACATATAAGACAGTCGATATATTTTTTAAAATAATTTAATATTTTATTTTTTCACGTAAATAATTTAATCTACAACACCATCGTAAACTTAAATCCTAATCCTTGATGGACCCAATCTACTATACTTTATTTACACTATATTATGTTTTTCATTTTCCCCAGTTTATTTATTTGCTTATTATCTTAAAAAGAAATGTAATCTTGTATAGCATATCTCTGTGATATTAAAATCAATATAATCTATTAAACTTAGCACTACTTTACTTACTGTGAGTTTTGGCAGGAGCTTGATCATCGACGGATAGTTGCTCCTGTTTTATCGTTTAAATAATCGTTTGAAGTGGATTTTTATCAAAGTGATGCGATTATGTGTATTAAGTGTCTGCCCATGTAAGCTATTAGAGAAAACGACGAAATAAGTGCTTCGATGTTGGTATAAGCCTCAAGTTATTTTAATCGCTTAGGCGTCTTATGATTTACTTCCGTGCATTCAGAAATAGCTGTTAAATATTTTATTTCTTCAGCTGCATCCGTAGCATCTGAACGAATTATTGCTACAATCAATCTTTTAGTGCCTAATAATCGCAGTATTGAAACAGCTGAACATATAAATCAACGATTATTTTTGAAAACTCTTACTGAAAAATATTGGTAAACATAATTGTCTTATTTAAATTAAACAATAATTACTAACAACCAGTTACTAAGAACTTTGAGCCGTGTAACTCAGATGGCGCCCGCTGTAAATTTGACAGTACGTGAGCAACCCGAGTTCGATCCTCGCCGGAACCAATGAATTGCAATTTTAAGTGCTGATTTACCGCGTAATCTTTTTTTAAACAAAGTCGATATGTCGATATTTTTTTCGATATATTGGAAATCCGATATTTTAAAAATATAAACAGCCCTAGTTTGAACTGATCAGTTGGAATGATCAGTTGAACTGATCGTGTGTGTCGAAATTTTTTTGGATTAAATCCGTTTGAAGTCATCAGTTGAACTGATGTCAGTTTAACTGACCGTGAGTGGGGACCATAAAACTTGCAAACCTTAAGAGTATTTAGAAGCAAGCTATAGAGCGCTCACTCACTCACTGCCTATTATACAAAGTGTAAACAGGTGTTCTATAAATAGTGGTGGGCCATGATTGACGCTTTTGTGTTAATTTAATTAAATTTACAATTTTAATTAGTTAAAGTATGTAATAGTTAAGTATTTAATAAATATTGGGTAGGTAAGTAAATATATGGTTGATTTTCGCAAGTCAATAAAATACAGGAATGAATTTATAAAACGACGTTTATTAAATAAACACAAAAATCTATTTATACAACAATGTTTATTAAATAAACACAAAAATCTATTTATAAAACGATGATGATGAACGATGCGCCTTAAAAATATTCAATTTATTATATAGCTGTCTCTTTGTTAGCTTTGTAGCAGTTTTGCGAACAAGATATTTTATCCAAATATCAATTTATTTTTGGTGATGATGTGATAATTTGACGGACAAAGCACAGAAATGCAAGGAACATACATAACTCCTAATGTTGGGCTCCCAGTTAGGCCGACTTATCGCTATCACCCACTTATTTGTTAATTCAATTTTAAGTAAATTATACGTGGTGGTTATTAAGTAATTTTTATACGTGGTAGAGCCATGCTGCAGCTATATTTCTGGTATAGTTGTAACATGAATGGGTCAGCTCGACCCATGCGGCCACGCTCTCACAGAATACCAGCGTAAAATAGCAGCTTAATGCTGCTGTCTTTCGTATGGTGAGTATAGAGAACCGGAGACCCTTTTTATATGAAACGAGGCATTCCATCAGTCCTCACGGGTGACAAAGCATCTGCATTGATTCGTAATCGAGGATAAATGTAGATTTCTATGGGCCACAGCAACCACTTACCATCAGGTGGACTGTGTGCTCGTTTGTCACCCTTATCCTATAAAAAAAATTACGGTTTTTCGGAAAACTAAAATTAGATTAGTGTTTAACAGCATTAAACTTTGTTATGTTCCGATATAACATAGCTATTAAATGTTTTATTTTGTGACCCACATGGATTGGAATACAAAGGATCTTTACTTCTAATACTATACATTTATATTATAATTATTACGGAAGAAACCATGTTATTAAAAAAAATATTAAAGTATAACGTGGCACAGCACTAGCTCTAATTCGGGGAAAACCCTAAGCGCGAGACGCGGGGCACGTCGCCCCGGCCATGCGCCTCCCTCTACACCCTTTGACGCCCTAAGTCATTTTGTTAAAATCAGTGTTTTCTTATCGAAATATTACATAACGATGAAAAGAAATATCATAGTACTTCTTATTTTGCTTCCGTGAATCGTTTTCGCAGTGTGGCACTGCACATTTCACCATGATAACTAAAAATTCAATTAAATATCGTCGAGAGAAATAATCAACGCGCGTGACCTTTCTTGATTAATAACATAGATAATATATATATATATAGCAACTGTACCAGATTACTGCAGCCAGCAGATGTGTCAGCTTTCAAACCATTGAAATCTGGTTGGCAGAAAACTGTTTTGGAGTGGAGACGAAACAATTCATCAGTAGCTCTCACTAAAAGCGGTTTCGTACCACTTCTAAATAAAACGACCAAAAATACGATCACGCCTTCAACACAGGTCTCTGTCCATGGAACGTGAACGCCGTGGATTTTACTTTACAAAATGTCTAGGCAAGCCAGATACTCTGCGTGCAGAAACTATTAATGAAGCTGACAAAAGAGAAGAAGCAAAAGAGGAATTTAAGTATGTAGTAGGCGAAAGGAATATCCATCAAATTGAACGTGTTCATCAACTTGAAAAAGATTTGGAACTATTTCACAAAGATAAACAATAGTAAAAATTTAAATAATATAGACCATGCTTCCAGACAGGATGATGTGGGTATAATATTGGATACAATAGATATTGAAAATATGCCAGAAGTTATAAGCGAAGACATGAGAGAAGAGTTTTCCGATTGCGTATTTGCCCATGCATCGGAAATAATTGTAACAGCAGAAAACTTCGATGATGGCAATGTCGATGGTTTATTAGACAATTCACCAGAAGTTGTACATTTCTTTTGCCTATTTCATAAAGCAGAAGTGTATAATGCTAAGACAGAATATAACAGAATTGCTGTTAAGCCACAAAAGATCGAATGCCTCATTAATACAGTAGTACAATAACAAAGTTCCGATTTTGACAAAATAGAAACGTATCGAAATCGAAAAATAGAAACGTATAATAAAGATCCAACAACTATTAGGGTACAAAAAAATTCCACTGCCCTATTAAACCTAACTCCCATCAGGCCTCCGTCCCTCGCTCAAGGCCCTGCGTTATATGCCTACCGTTCGGTGTATCGCCCACGATACAACCGACATTGGGCTGCCGCACGCCCGCCGAAATGCCGAAACCACGTAATTAATGTGAAGTGGATTCAAGAAACAAATGAAAAATTGTCATTTTCTTCTTAACTATAAGATACAGACACAGCATAACTGTGCTGTGATTTATAAATTGAGTGACAACCTGGACACCCAAATTATATAATAAGTCTTAAATAATTTTGACAACGCCATAATGAATCGGCCTGGCAGCAGCGTGATACAAATTTTACAAACCATT